AATCTCAATGAATGGCAAATTGGTGATGAACTTACACTGTTGCCACAGCACCAGAGTCTTCCTTCCAGTCTGACATCTTGGTGAAAAAAGCTGACACCAGAGATGTACCATTAGCGTCTAGAGGTACTACAGAGGATTAGTAACATAGGATAGTATACATATCAAATAATTGCTATACACCTCTATATGATGTATAATTTGTTACGGTGTCATTGTGGATATAGAGGATATTATATGAGTGTTCATGTCATACTATGTTTACGACCCGAGTGTCAAGATTCCGGTATTTCCCGAGCGAGAGCGAGGCACGAGTGTCGTAAACATCGAATAATTATCTATTTATTAGCGAAGAAGATGTCTACATAGAGAGTCGAATTTTAGTGTTTACCTATAAGGACTGTAAGTCGCAACATCAGCGGAACCACAATTTGTCGAATGACGTCAACAATCTTCAGCTATGATGTCGTTTCTAGTGTGACGTAATTCCGACCTCACGTCACAATAATGACGTCAGCAATGCCGCCCGGATGACGAAAACAATACATTGTTGTCCCCTGACGTGATATGACTCTAGGGCACATGTGATTTTTGTGAACCCCGATATGTTTGCCCTCGTAGGCAATAAATCATAATATTGCATATGCATTGCTTACAACTAGACTAAGTCATAACTACTGGCAGTATTGCCCAAACGAAAACTATGAATACATGTTATACAAAAAATGATCGATTATGTAATATTATACTTTTCCTTTTATGAGTTGTGAGAACATAGGCATTGAGGATTAAACTCACATCTTGAAGCTGCCTCTGTGACCTGACTGTCATTGCAGGAATTTGGTAGACACAGGTCCCATTGTATAAATACGTGGCGTTGATCTGTCTGCAAATGTATTCTCTCAATGTAATATATATGACCTTTTGTGACCTTATATGACTCTCAGGAGACAGGGAGTGTCATTAATTTTTTTGGAGTGGCGAGGAATAGGATGCTCTGATTTGACTTGACTTTAAACATGGTTTCCTAACTTGATAAATTCAACGCCATGTTATTTTGTTGATCTAAGGGGACATAACTGAGTATGATCATTTCCTGCTACTGAAGTGAGTGAGTGAGTTGGGTTTAACGCCGCTTTTAACAGTATTCCAGTTATATCACGGCGTGTCAGCTTAATGTGGGAGGAAAGCCCCAAATGGTGCAGGTCTGAGACGTCTACCACTTCGGTGAAGCCCACGAGCACGGGTATGGTGCTGACAAACCTCGAATTCGAACCTACAATCATAGGTTTCTGGCGTACCCAAGGGACGCAACTCTGCACAGCCGATCGCGGCGCCTTAGACGACTGGACGACCCGTACCCACTATGTGCTATGGAGAGTTATGACTGATCATAGAGTTTGTGAAACGTTTGATAAGATTATTATAATGAAATTAGAAAGATTTTATCGAAGGGAAACACGTACCGTAAATTGTTCATGCATGTTGGTAATATTGGTGATTGCTTCAGGGCCTGTGAGAAGGAAGTGACAGTAGCCTCCATTTATCACATGACTTTCTCCCGTGCTTTCATTGGTTAGTGTGTGTGACACATCCAGACATTCATCATAGTTACCAAGAAATTTCGTGGCTCCCCGTAGAATACTTTTGCCTGGTTTGCCTGATGCATCTAGCACTGTAACAGAGAAACACTTACCTAATAAACAAAGTCCTCAACAAGTATTTCAATGTAGATAGTATTGTCATATTGCATTTTCAGTAAAGACTGCTTTTTAAATGAATACCGCTGCAATGTGTGATTCGGGTTAAACTATGTATGCCAAAAACGTAGGGTATATTGTGAATCTTCAAGACAGATCTTGAAATAACCCCTGTTGGCCAGACATGCACTAATTCCTAGGGGCATGCTTGTGATGAGTCGACATATGTCAGTTTGACTCAAGCTGTTTCACTCTTTCAGAATCACCACTACCAAAGCGTAGTTCAAATATGTTTCGTTAACAATAATATAACGTAATGGAAATAAAAGCAAGAAAAGATCCTTTCATAATCATGAAATTGTTCGATTCCGACTAGATCATAGCATGTATTCATGAATCACTATCAAATAGTGATGATACCAGTGTTCGCCGGTGGCACCCGTCACAATAAAAGCAAAGGCATATAGTACGACTCAAAATAAGGAATTGCGTCAGACATCATTTCAGTCACATATGCGTCAAATTTGGAAATGTATGAGTTGGATTTGTGACAGAATGACTCACTTTTCAAGGCCCACATCTGACCCTCCCCAATACCCTGGAGATAGGCGCTGACGTCAGCTGTACATCGGTCCTCGCTCTCAAGTCCTTCCGGACTCAGTAAATACTGCACATCTGCCAACACCTTCTCCAACGTCGACAGCAACGGCGTCTCTTCGCTACTCGAACCTTTCTTTATAATAGTCTTCGAGATATCTTTAACACTTTTTCCATGTTTGTTTCCAATCACTGACCTTAAGATGGAAATCAACTGTGGATTCAGCAGAGTTGATTGCAACATTCCCGCCAACACATTCGCGCGTGGACCTTGAGAGGTGTTCATGTGTTCAGACGGGTTGGGAACAAAATGCAGTTGATCCGTAGGTTCCTCATACCGTTCGTCCTTTAAGTTTAAAGAACTTGGCCGACCACCTGAAGATATCTGACTATCCTGTGTGATAATGCCGCCTTGATGTGCAGTCGAATTGCTATTGTAACTTCCACTGAGCATATGAAGTTCATTATGCATTTGGATCGTGTTCACTGAACATATACACACCAAAACGATGATAAATGTTGATGACTGTGTTGATAAAATCATATTATATATATTGGAGAAGAGTTGACACACCAACGTTACACCGAATACCAGCTTCCCTAATACCGCTGATGACTTAGAATCTTAGTATCATAATACTAATAAGAAGTTATAAGTCAAGTCTTTACGATAACATCTGGACTGTAATGTAAACTTTTCACCGATACCTTTAGCCTTGACTCATGTCATTTGTTTGGCTCGACATCAAGTGATGGTGAAACACAATGCCACAGACGCTATGGTCACACTTAGTTTTATCTCCACTCCCAAAGGGTGGGTAACTTGCCTGCTGTTAGTTCAATTAGACCCGAAACATCTCATGCAGAGAGCGTATTATATTCTACACAGCCTGTCCTATATTGTGATTATACAAACTGCATGCGTCACTGGCAATATACGCAAGCCATATGCGTTCATGTGATTGGAGTATTGTTCAGTGTGGCATTAAACAACTAGCAAATAATTCACGTAAATTGATTACTGGTGAGAGAGGTCACATTGCCCCTTAGATTAACATGCGCAGTAGGTGCTGTCTTGTTCATTACATCCACGAACCAGGTGAGCTACTGAACAATAATATATGATACACAACCATAAGTTCATGGTTAATTAAGGGGAGGTGAAACGGGGTTTAACGCCACTTTCAAGATTATTGCACGCAAATAGCGACGTGCATACACACACGTGTGTAAACATATGTCGCAGTTTATCATGATACCCCACTCAGACACAGTATACTGACTCCAAGCGGACCCTTAATGTCGAACGCAAAGCAGGGAAACAAGAAGTACCACATCATAATGTTGTGTTTGACGCAGCTGGAGATGAATCCACCGACCTTCTGTGTGTTGTTTATTTGGATACAACTGTTTTAACAGTGTGGACAGTGTTAACAGAGTATTCGTCCATGCACCAAACTATCTTAAGAACGTGTGTGCCCACGATAGTAGAGTTACTGCCCCTTACTACCAGGTGGCGTCCTCCACGCGAGCAACATTCCGACCCTTGTGCTCGCTAGCACATTATCTCTTTCTCCCTCAAATTATCCCAGTAGCATTAATAGGTTTGCCAAACCTTCAATTCTTGTCTTTTTATGGTAACTGTGTACATAAGTTAAATCTTATGTGTAATTGCAGCACATTCACTAGACAATTATTATCCAGTTACACCGTGAGGTGTACATGGTATCCCCCCATTTGTTACGACCCGTGAAGATTCGGGGTAGACTAGGTCTTCAGCAACCCATGCTTGCCGAAAAAAGGGAACTTTGCTTGTCGTAAGAGGCGACTATCGGGATAGGGTGGTCAGGCTCGCTGACTTGGTTGATGCATGTCATCGTATCCCAATTGCGTTGACAGATGCTCATGGTGCCAATCACTGGATTGTCTGGTCCAGACTCGATTATTTACAGACCGCCGTCATATAGCTGGAATGTTGCTGAGTGTGGCGTTAAACAACAAACCAAACCAAAACCCGTTAGTTACACGTCCCACTTGTCACACACATCAAATCAGCATCCGTCATGGCTGAAGGCACTGACTGGTCTACCCGATGTTACCTAAGTATTAGAATAGAGTGATCCAAGAAAAGTAGAAAAGTAATCTTGTACTTTAGGTACTTATATGAAGATGTATACAATAATGTACGGTTATAACGAACTCTAAGGGACCACTCATTTTAATGTATCATAACCATAGTTCGTTACAAGCATATGTACAACATGTATACAGCAAATGAACGTGACCAAGAAATAGTTGGTTATATTAGTCAGTTCGTTGTAAGCGTGTTCATTATATATGTAGGTCACTGTACATAAGAAACTGTAGATACTGAACTTCTAGTTTATTTATGTCAAGTTTATGCGCACAAAGACATATATATATATGTTATAGAAATATTAAGATTCTTTATAAGCACTGAAAGTAGCACTGATTGATGGCCATTACTCAGTAGGTGTTGTACGTGCGTGCGTGCGTGCGTGCGTGCGTGCGTGCGTGCGTGCGTGCGTGCGTGCGTGTCTCTCTCTGTCAGCTGGGCCGGCAGAGTACGAATGCTCATTCTTGTTGTCAGCCACTGTCAATTGCATTAGTAGTATTAAAAGCGTCAACAGCTACCCTCACAGCATTACGAACAAGCAACAAGAATGTTTCAAAACAAACAACAGGTGCTGTCGGATCACTTGTATGTCAAAGGAAATCATATATATAACACATGTTCGCAAAGAACAATGAAGAACGAAGTGTGGTTTATTTCACGATAAACCATTGTTCCATCATGACGTCATTTCTGGAGATTCGAACATGCGCTCTCGCAACTTGATGACGTCGTATATTGGAGGACGTTATTTTTGAGAGGGAAAGGTCTAGGTGAAGCTGGGCAATGCAGATAAACGCTCTTAAATTACAGTAAAATATATTTTGATCGCTGTCCTTATATTATAATTCCAACACTACGTTCCGTGAGGTTAACGTGCATCATTCTTTGTCATGCCTACTTCTTGAGGCTTAGTCTGGTAAGGACCACCTTCTCCAGACCGAGGCATGGAGACTCCACCAACACACAGGTGATGAACGACAGGGCGAAGGAGACGGCAAATGTCCCTATGTAGTGGTAGCTCTGTAAAAACACAAATTGATTGTAATGAACAAGTCATAGCATCCCAACGGAACCACAATTGACAACAGCTCTCATGGCCCTCGTAATTGCCAGATTTATACTGGATAAAAACTATTTAGCATAATTAACAAGGGGTACAAAATGCAGCTGCTTTGCACTTGTACCCGATTTGTGCTACCGGTTATGCATATAACCGCACACATCATTACGCTGCCACCGCAGCGACATTCAATGGGCTTCACACATTGTACCAATGTCGGGAATCAGCCTAACGAGCGAACGCTTTAACCATTATGCTACCCCACCGCCCTCATGCAGTTGATGAGAAAAAACATCCATTTTGAGGTCGGTAATCTTGACTCGATGCAGAATAATCTTGACTGAACCGTTCTCCATCGCTGGTTTAGCCGTATCTGGTCAGATACTATTTTCAATACAGGAATTGCTGCTCCTGTTTGGGATGGGGTGTGTGTTGAACTCAAGTCACGAAGCCGCATGATGTGGCCCTGGCCAGAAGTTCCACAGCCTCGGCCTGGCGGGAGTCAGTCGCATGATGTGCCATGCTCTTGGTTCTGATACCAAAATCTAGGGATGGTGCTCTGCGATACATTGATTATCCGTGATGATCCGGGTTAGAATAGGTCTACAGCAACCCAAGCTTGTCGTAAGAGGCGACCGACGTTATCGGGTGGTCAGGCTCCCTGACGTGGTTAATGCATGTCATCGTATCCCAATTTGGTAGATCTATGCTGATGGTATCAATCACTGGATTGTCTGGTCCAGACTCGATTAATTACTGACCACCGTCATATAACTGGAATATTGCGGCGTTAAACAAGAAATTAACAAACGAACTGGTGTCAACCTCTAGCAGGTGCATGGTCAGGCGGACGCACAGCTTCCAATTGACGAAAAAAAGGAAACTGCGTGCGTGCGTGAGTGGGTGCTCTGGGATACAATGATTACCCTGGATACAGTGAGTGAGTGAGGTTTGACGCCGCTTTAGCCATATTTCTGCAAAATCACGGCGAGGGACACCAGAAATGGGCTTCATACATTGTACCTATGTGGGGAATCGAACCCGTGCCTTCGGATCGACAAGCGAACGCTTTAACCAACAGGCTAATATGTGCTGGAAAATATTTCTCTTTGAAGTAGTTCTGCTGAACATTTACTTGTCCTTATGTACATTTTGGCAACTTTTGGGTGGCCAAGTGGTTAACGCGTTGCCCCGTTATATCAACCGACCCTTGTTCGATTCCCACATGAATAAAATGGGTGAAGGCGTGACTGAACTATTGCTACAAGCAGCTTCAAACTCACTCCTTCACTCACACATTTTGAGAGTTCAGGCGTTGCAGGTACTGATTCTACCTACCACAAACACTACATCAGCATATCTCAGAGACCTTACAGAGACCTCTGTATAGGACAACAAGACTGTGTGGTTCAGATAGGCTCCGTACGTCAATCTACCCAGAGGAATCCAAGCAGACCAGGAGAGGATGCTGTTGATAACACCTGCAATAAACGATATAGTATTAAAACACGAATGTAGGCAGTGGAAGTTAGCGATAGAAAGATTTTTAAATTATCATCCCTTTTACTTAAAATAATAACTAGGTTTCTGTTATGTTTATATATAAATGATAATGTATTCAAATCAATTCACCTGTCTGACAACATGCATAAACTAAAACGATCATATCAGTTTAATTCCATCATCACTTATAGACTTTATAATATTCTACTACAACATATCAATCCAATATGGCCGCTCTCAGACTGTCTTCTTTCATCACAGATCGTGTCATACGTAGGACAGTTTGGTGGATATCATGGTTTACTCGTGGATCATCCGCACAATTAGTCATTATGTCTCCGATAAGTTTCTATCACTGAGTGTTTGTGTTTGGGCGAATGTCTCCTGTCGCCCTATACTTAGTAAGTACACTACAGTTCGAATGTCAAACTCATAGTGACATCTCAAAGGCATTTATATATGTTTTGCAAGAATAACAGGGTCAAAAAGAAGAAACGTAACCAAACGGTGGGAATGAAGACATTTTTATGTGGAGTGAGTGAATATGGGTTCACCCCGCTTTTAGCAATATTCAAGCAATATCACGGCGAGGGACACCAGAAATGGGCATCACACATTGCACCTGGGCATTCGGCTTGACGAGCGAACGCTTTAACCACTAAGTTATCTTTCCCCTCCTTTTTCATTTAGAAGTTTAAGAACAATGACAGACACCTTGCTTACATATAAGGGGCGATCGGGTAGCCTAGTGGTTAAAGCATTCGCTCGTCACGCCGAAGACCCGGGTTCGATTTCCGACATGGGTACAATGTGTGAAGCCCATTTCTTGTGTCCCCCGCCGTGATATTGCTGGAATATTGCTAAAAGCGGCGTAAAACCATATTCATTCACTCACTCACTTACAGATAAGATACATCACTCTTTCTGATATATCATATCTGAGATACAATGCTCTATTGGTGTATATCTTCGTGTGTTTTCAACGTGGCTCGATATGGGTTCCATGTTAACTTTTGTCTGCTCAATTTGAACAGTTTTCACTCACTCACTCACTCACTCACTCACTCACTCACTCACTCACTCACTCACTCAGAGAAACCTTACCTCCGTTACGTGTGCAGCACACCAAGATAATCCAAGATACAAACAACGCCCAGCCAGGCCTGCTGAGAGTTTCATAGACGATTCTGGTATTGGCGCCCCATTGTCTGTCCGCCTCTCGCATCTGGTCATATGTGATGTAAGAGCACAGAAGTCCTACAGCTAGGAATACCAGCCACCCCAGTACAAGGAGGTACTGCAACAAGTAGACTCCTTTAAATACAAGTGTCCTCACCCATCTACATCTACACCTACAGTGACATCAACGTTGAGCTCTCATACAAGCAGTGTTAGTGGGGGAGTTTGGTTTTCAATGCCGCTTTGAACTTTATTTGACTGCCACAAAAGGTTCCTAATTCAGGGCAGAATTGTCATTCGAACTCAAGACCCGGTATGTTTTCTCGATTCATAAATTTGGTATTACACAGGAGCTCGTTTAGTATTCTATATTGATACACTGGATATAAATGGCTTACTCTTCGTATCTTGAGTTTACACTTGGTTTTGTGTAGCAAGACCCCCAGGAACATCCCTATGGCGAATACGCCGACACGACACCAGGGAAGACGGTAGACTTTGTCCATGAAATCCCTTCCATTCCTTGGATGAAGCATCATTCATATATATCCTTCTTGATGGAAGTTCAACTAATATCATAATCTATTTGACAGCTTTTATGTTAATGCTACATTCAACAATATTACTGTGGCATGTACATTATCAATAAAGTGAGTGAGTGAGTTTGGTTTAAAGCCGCTTTTAACAGTATTACAGTTACATCGCGGTGTGTCAGCTTAATGTGGGAGGAAAGCCCGAAGTGTTGCAGGTCTCAGACGTTTACCACTTTGGTGAAACAAACGAGCTGACAAACCTGGAAACCTGAAATCTCGGAGCGAACCGGCGTGCCCAAGGGACGCAACTCTGCACATCAAATTACGGCGTCGTGGACGAGTGAGCCACGCGTGCCCCCCTGTACACAGTCAAATCAAGACAAAGTAAAACAGTGAGTGAAAGCATGAGCAATCTTCCTTGTCACAGCCGCATGGTTGACACAATGAGCCAAGTCAATCGAGCCTCATCACCCAGTTCTCTCTTGTCACGTGTTACGACAAGCACGGGTACTGGGGATCTATTCTTCCTTTGAATCCCAGCGAAGTGTCTGAAGCTTGAACCATTTTATCTTGATAAATAATGAAAGCAAAGCATGATCGTTTTCGCTGATGTTAAGTAATGTAAATACTTACAGAAGCAATGAACTGCCTCCAGTTTGCCATTCCAGATATCCGTATGATATAACATGTATAGCAATGAATCCAGATATCACACAATAACCGAGCCAGGCAAAACTGTAAAATATGTAGCATCATGAATCTTTGATCTTCAATGAAATATACCAATTCGAAAATGTTCTAAAAATGTTTCATCGATAATTCTGTGCATTGAATTGACCTTATTCATGTTACTGTACTATTCCATCATTCATATGAGATGATTAAGGGCCGTTGGGTAGCCTAGTGGTTGAAGCGTTCATTCGTCAAGATGAAGGCCCAGGTTCGATTCCTTAATTACATGGGAACAATGTGTGGAAACACTTTCTATTGTGCCCCTCCGTCATATTGCTGAAATATTGCAAAATGCGGCGTAAAATCATAGTACCTAACTCACACACTCAGATGATTAAAGTGTTTAGTTACCCGAATGCAAGCGGCAGTAACGCCAGTGGTGCCACGACGTAAAACTGCATATCATTTGCCAAAAACCAGGAAGCTGGAAGACACTGAAACAGATGGAAGTGCCATGCTTAAATGGAACCATCGACGATACCTAAAGGCTTGAGGACGGAAACAAGTGATCTAAATACGTCAGAATGGAAGGAAACACAATAAGACAATAATACCGCAGTAGATGGAATGAGAGCTCGATGACTACATATATTGCCAGATGCAGAGAAGGATTTGTCAACGTTTCTCACAGAATACATGTATGAATGTGAGTGTACTTGTAGATAATCCTAAAAAGGAACAAAGTGCCCAATAGTGTGCTACACATTTCCCAAGATCTTAACATATAACTGGTGCCATGTGTAAGCCTGATACATTCGCTCTGTAAAAATCGGTTATTTATTAGGTGATAAAAGTAATGAGATGTTAGCAAGTAGAAAACAAAGTGTTGTTTGAGGCACTTGAATCACAACTTGGTGGGAATGATTATTGACTTAAGCTTAATCCCTCTTCAATGAACAATTACGACCGCATGATAACATTGTGTCATGTGTTTTTGTTTTATGTTTCAGTTTTAAAGTAGACACTTTAATTATGAAATGTTATTGTACAAATTCAACATTTTGAACAACAAGAATGTCTTAATTATATGATAAACAATAATGAATACATTTACCATTTCATCTATCTTATACAAATTGTTGATGTACAGCAGATTGGCCCACCAGTTGTCCCGACAATGGTCTTTGTCTATGAGGTTCTTTGACTCAGCCAGTGGTCCGTCTATGAGGTGGTCCAGTAAGCCCGAGTAGAACATGACGATTATCATATATACAGGGGTCAACCTGAAACACAGAACCGGTACTTGAGACCAGTCCTTGGTGGGTTTTCATGTGTGCTTGCTTTTCATACGTATCCTACATAAGATAGTTAAAGGGGCGGTAGGGTAGCCTCGTAGTCACGCCGAAGACGGGTACAATGTGTGAAGCCCATTTCTGGTGTCCCCCGTCGTGAAATTGTTGGAATATTCCTAAAAGCGGCGTAACATCATACTCACTTACTCACTCAGATTGTTGGAAGAAGATTCTGGATTGGGAAACTGGAGAGGTTACTCATTGGATGTTTTGTCTCCTTGGAGGATTTTCGTTTTTGATCGGCGTTGTCTAAAATTATCTTTTTGTAAGGTCAGTATTAAGTATTGAGAGAATAATCATGCTCTGGTGTAAGGGGAAGGGTTTTGTCGCTTACATTTACGAGATATATTAAATTACGGATTATATAAAATTAACGATTTGCATTTCCAAAAGGTTAAATGTGTTATGTCTGTCGCATCCCAGTATACCCAATGTGGCCCGTGGGCAATGATAGTCACCTCCACCATCTGTGGATGTAGTAGATGACCATCTGTCTGGCTGTAGGCTTCCCTCTGGCAGACTTCTCACACTCTCTCAGGAACAAGAACGTCAACAGGCAGCCGCTAGAAAAAGGTTATAGGAAAACTGACAAGAAGCGAATGTTTATGATGAGATTTGCAAAACCGAAGACTTTATTTTATGTAGATAAAATAAATATATTATTATTTCACCTACTAAACAAAAACATGTTAACTTCAATAAAATGTTTTTCAAAAGCACAACTTCTGATTTAAACTAAAGTTTAAAATTCCAGAAAAGCAATATTCCACATGTAAATTGTACGTCACGAAGAGAATTATTAACTGAGAAATATGTACCTGAGCAGAAAGAATGTATCAACTGCGACAGAGGCATTAATGATGAACTGCATGGTGAATCTTTTCGTCCATTCAGCATAATCACTCACGTTCTCATCTGGTGGGAATGATTGATGATACAATTTAGACATTAAATCAGTTTGCAAATCAGTTGGTTATTTTCGTGCTATTCAATCGGAAGTTTCTTTATAAATGATTTCAGAAAATAAGATAAATATCACATGGATGCATCTCCCAGCACAAATACCAATAGTTTGCAATGCTTTAATTAACCCAAAGAGAGATCTACTCACAGCTGCCAAGTCCATCCCAAGACACTGCATGTCCGAGGATGACCCAGGCCATACTGAGAACACGTATGCCATGGATACAGCCTAGGTTTCCATCCCCCGTTCTGGTGTTGAGGATTTTTTCGGTGTTCCTGCTGATGGAGAACGACAGGACGAGTTGGCGACCCAAACCTTAAAAAACACCAAAAAACAACAAAATAATTAAAATGGATAAGCTCAAATACTGATAGGTTTAACTTTCATCCGTCGTTATCGTTCAAATTCTTCCCGAGCTGACTAAAGCTGTGCACATGAAGCAAGTGCAGAACGTCTACCACCATGGCAAGACACATAAGCATGGACATACTGAGGTACTGAGGTACTGAGGTACTGAGGTACTGAGGATCTTCTCTGTATTCCTGCTGACGGAGAACGACAGAAGGAGTTGACGCCCAAAACCTTTAAAAACAATTTGAAAATTTCAATAGGTTTGGCTTGACGAACATTTTGGCTAAAATGCTGATAGGTTTTAACAGTCCTTCCTTCCGCCAATAACCTATGATTGTGGGCTCGAATCCCGGTTAGACCCGATTATGTTTCTCGGTTTGTGTTCGTAGGTATCACCGAAGCGATGAACGTCTGAGATCTGCATCACTTCGGGCTTTCCTCCTACAGTAAGCTGACACCCCGTAATAGACTGGAGTACCGTTCAAAGCGGCGTTAAAACCAACTCACTCACCACCTCTAAGAAAGTTAAAGAACTTAGAATGAAACATTGATATGATGTGTACGAATTCAATGAGATTTTGATTTGTTTAAGTCAGTAAAATAAAAAAATAAATTTAAAAAACCCAATTCAACCAATTCTAAATTCAAACTTCGAAATGATTTCGAATTTACGCCTCATAAAATAAATTAAATGAAAATATTATTCAATCGTGGAATGATACAAGGACAAAAGCGTTATTATTCTGTATCGTATTATCAGTATCAATCATTGCGTTTAGATTTTAAAATAATTCTTGAAAAATGATATCAAAGAATATAAGAAAATATTGAGCTGAATGCAGGTTATCATGATTCTAAGATTATTTTGGGCACCATTTTCTGAAGTCAACTTTGGCCATTGTTGGTGATGCAGTCGAGAAGACATTACGCAGAAAAATTAACCGCCACGTATAAAAAACTCCTTGCATATAACATCCGCCTCATTATGATGTTGAACACCAGTACCTTCGCGATTTTAACAAAATGCGTTTGGCACCTATACGATTTTGTGACGTGCCACTATGTGTTACCTTCATTTTGATGTTTCTCCTCTTGGTTTTCTAACCGCTGAAACCCAGGACGCTCGATGGCTTTGTTAACGTTTTGACGTTGTTGACCGTCATCATTCATAATGACCTCTCTATCGTAGGCGCCAGCCTCAGATCCACTGTCACCGTTGATGTCGCCAGTGTAGCGTTGACGTCTGTAACGGTCGATCTCCGCGCTGATGATATCATACAGGGTTCCCACAAGGGATAACGCGACGATGAAACAAATGACAACCCTGCAAAATATACATGTCGGTTAAAAAGAAGATTGTAACCATGCGGAAACGCTATCATGTTAAGTCTTGTAAAATAGCATCAATTTAAAACTTTTGTCTATCATCAGAGTAGGGCGCAGGTTCAGTCATGGCAACGTTTCCAAACTTCCATTGGTGGTCTGATTGCTTTTCGTTTGTAAAAATTAGATAATTATTAAATAAGATAAATCACTGAACGAGATAAATTAATGGATGGCAAGTGAATGATGAACGTACACTGTTGTAACTGCACTGGCGTCTTCCTTCCAGTCCGTCACCTTGGAAAAATAGGCCGACCACAGAGATGAACCAGTGGCGTTCAGAGGTACTAAACATGATGAAACCAATATAAGTGACATGTAAATACTTGCAATACACGTCTGTATGATTCTACACGTTGTAACGGTTGTGATCTTTCTAAACACCATCCTACTATAGATGTTGTTATATTGTATATGCATTGGTTATGACCAGTTAAAACACTGACTGTAATGCCAAATAAAAAAACGTATTTTAGATAATAAAGACCTTTTCTTTTTATGAATTGAAGGAATTGACTTACATCTTGAAGCTGCCTCCTTGACCTGACTGTCATTGCAGGAATTTGGTAAACACAGGTCCCATTGTATGAACATGTGGTATGGGTTGATCTGAAATATTCTCTTAATGTAATGCAAATGGCATTGAAGAGGGTAGAGTGAGTGAGTGAGTGAGTGAGTATGGTTTTACGCCGCTTTTAGCAATATTCCAGCAATATCACGGCGGGGGACACCAGAAATGGGCTTCACACATTGTACCCATGTCGGGAATCGAACCCGGGTCTTCGGCGTGACGAGCGAACGCTTTAACCACTAGGCTACCCGACCGCCCCGAAGAGGGTAGAAGGGTGTATAAAGAGTTTTACATCACTTAGTTTAGTTTAAACATATTTTATTCTCATGAAAAGGATTGGGCACAAGTTATCACAACTTAGAACACTTTGAGCATGGGTGTCGAATAATTATTTATTTGAGTACAGGGGAACTTGATGTGCATTTCCTGTCATGGCATAGACATGCAAAACAAAAATAACATGATGGTATGCAAAAATAAAGTTTATAATGTCATTGTAGAGAAACACGTACCGGAAGTGGTCCATAGCCGTTGGTTACATTGGTTACTGATGGCGGAATTGTGAGTAGAAAGTGACAATAACCTCCCTGTATCACATGACTTTCTCCCGTGCTTTCATTGGTTAGTGTGTGTGACACATCCAGACATTCGTCATAGTTACCAAGAAATTTGATCGCTCCTCGGAGAATACTCCTGCCTGGTTTGCCTGATGCGTCTAACACTGTGAGAGAGAAACACATACAAAACTGAGAAAGCAATCAAGATAATATTTAATTGTCTGTCTATATCACATTTTATGTTTGTTGGTATTTTTATCACAAAAATATAAACCGATCCTTGACTTTTAACTATGACGCTATCAGGTACTGGAAGGTAAAAACATTGTAAGATGTAATCATATGAATAAAAATATCTTATTATCAGGTTCCATTGGACGAAAAAGGCAAAATAGTGGTTAAAATAATATGAATGAATCACTGAAAATCACCTTAATTCAGCAACAAAAATTCAGTTTTTTCTTTTGTTATGAAAATTGAAATGTTACGAACGCTTCCTTTTGGCAAGCACTTTGTAGGAAGGATTTTACTCCCCTTTGACTAATCTTGAGACCAGTGTACGGTAAATTCCCCTTTCTGTCATTTGAATCTTTCAACAATTACAACTTCCAAATATCTTATTCGAATGCAGTGCTGCGGGTTAAAGTTCATATTTCTAACGTCAAAATGTGTCAAAGCTGAACTCTTATATGGTGACGAATTGCATAAATGTGTGTCAGACTCACTTTGCAAGGCCCACATCTGACCCTGTTCCACACCCTGGAGATAGGCGCTGACGTCAGCTGTGCATCGGTCCTCGCTCTCAAGGCCCTCCGGACTGAGTAAATACTGCACCTTCTCCAGCATCGACAGCAACGGCGCCTCTTCGCCATTCGAACCTCTGCTTACAATAGTCTTCAAAACACCCTGCATACCATCTCCTTGTTGCTTTCCCATGACGGTCAATAACATAGTAGCCAACTTGGGATTCCGCAGAACTCTATGCAGTACTCCTGCCGACTCGTTCGCTTCTGTGGATGAAGCTTGTGGACCTTGTGAGGCATCCTTGTAGTCAAACGAATGGGGAACATTGTATTGTTTTAGGTGTTCTTGATCTCTGTTGTTGTTGACGTTTGAGGAACCTGGCAGACTATCCACTGTGGTATTGCGTCCTCGTTGTGCAATCGAAGTTTTAGAAGTTTGATTATACTTATGAAGATCATTATACGTTTGAAAGGTGTTCACGGAAGACATACACACCAACATGATGATAAGCAGGCATGATTGTGTCGGAAACATTATAAACATCTTTTATCTCGGGGATCACGGGGATCACGGATGTTGCTGTGTTGAACAGACTCTTGAACGTCCCAGCTGTAAGTCAGCATCACCACTGATAACCTGCAGCCTCAATACCGTAATCCATTCATATATGTGTTGACCCCATTGCGATATCAAATTATCTATCTTACGCGCCCGTCAACTGTACATGCGAGTTATATATAAAGGCTTTATGGTAGACGTAGGATTGAATTATGAAACATATGCAAGGCCCTCGATTATATTAATAGTTGAGATTTCTTTCGGTGTCATTGGATTGTGAAGGTTATGCTGTTGCAACACCAGTGCGGTGTTAAAGTTCATATGTATCCTTCTCTCATGTGAGTGAGTGAGTTGGGTTTAACGCCGCTTTCAACAGTATTCCAGTTACTCCACGGCGTGTCAGCTTAATGTGGGAGGAAAGCCAGAAGTGATGCAGGTCTCAGACGTTTACCACTTCGGTGAAACCCACGAGCACGGGTATGGTGCTGACAAACCTAGAAACATAATCGGGGTCCTTCTCTTAAAGAGTGTCAATTGCAGACAGGGATATGCCCATGACCTATACCTGCATACAGGGCCTTGACATGATTGTCTCACGTGACTTTACTTTTTGATAGTGAGTCAGGCTAATGTGGGACATACCGATAATGTAGGTCTTGAAAGTATATCGTTTTGCTGAACGAGGACGGGTACAGTGAGTGAGTAAGTGAGTGAGTGAGTGAGTGAGTGAGTGAGTTGGTTTAACGCCGGGTTGAGCGGTATTCCATTTATATCATGGCGAGTCGGCTTAATGTGGAAAGAAGGCCCGAAGTGATGCAGGTCTCAGACGTTTACCACTTTGGTGAAACCCAACAGCACGGACATGCTGGTGACAAACCTAGAAACATAATCGGGGTGAACCGGGATTCGAGCCCACGATCATAATTTTCTGGCGTGCCCAAGGGAGCACAACGAAGTGCGGCGTCTTAGACGAATCATTGCCAAATAGCTCATATTTGTCTTTAAAATACGGGAAGACTTGTAAACTCTTTGTAACTATCACTAGACAACATGTTTAACTGCATAATTATGTAATATCGGTCTTTCGGCCTGAACTACAAATTTATTTACAAATCGGAATATTAACTGAATCCGCTGCTTATAACATTTAAATCAAGTCATTATTTTTCATGTTTGTTTTCTTACGATTAGCAAACACAGTTTGCATTCCAATGTATCAGGGTGTATTATCTTAATGAATGCCGTGTTATCATGTATGAAAACACGGCGGACCACCGACAAAACGTTAAAGGGCTCCGCTGACGTGCTGTCCTTTCTTCTATTTGATACACACTGCGAGTTTGGTAGGTCACGGAGACTATCAGGCTGTATCAATACCGGGATACATGCGTGTACGGCCTAGTCTATGGACACACGAAATGAGCGTATACGTCTTGTGACTACATATAGTATTTCAATAAGGGGATGGAAGTTATAAGGCTGATAATGCCTTTCTGTTTGGGTCAGGTAAACACTGTAGAGTTGACAACGTACGTGAGTGAGTCAGTGAACTCTACAGTGCTTTGAACAGTATAGCAGTAAATCAAGGCGCGTCAGCTTGATGTAGGAGTAAGTTAAACACTGTAGTGTTGACAACGAATGTAACTCAGTCCATGCGAACACGTGAGTGAGTTGGTGAGTGAGTGAGTGAGAGAGTGGGTGAGTGGGTGAGTGAGTGAGTGAGTGAGTAAGAATGCCGCCTTGTTATATCAAGGCGTGTCAGCTTGATGTAAGAAATGATGGTCCTTACAGCCTTAAAAACTAATTTTCGAATCCACGTGTCATAAGTTCTGTCTCGCCTTAGGGGTGCACCTGTGACCACATACAGTGTACATAAACACACTCTTATGACCACACACAGTATTATACAAGGATACGAATCCCCTGACGCCATACCCTAAGAAGATACGATGAAACTCTAAGCTTTACATCACTGTCTGAGTATGGTTCTACGTCGTATTTTAACAATATTCCATCAATATGCTGACGGAGGACACCAGAACGGGGCTTCACACGTTCACATTACTGTGAAATGTCTCACAATAAAAAGTGGAAAGACCAGAGTGCGTTCATTAATAAAAACCCAATCTTTATTAATTAAATCGTACATCAATAAATAAAAAAAAAAACATTTATCGCAATGGTTTAATTACCGTATATGCAATTCATTAACTTAATGGAAACCATTCATTTTCTTCAGGATAATTCATCAATAAGCAAATGTCCAATGTTTGGACCAGTAACGTAACATTTATTTGAAATTTCGAGTGGTGTGCTTGTTTATTTGATCTATTTGGTGATTTTATCGCCATTGCAATATGATACACCTAACGCAGTGTCTAATGTGAGTTTTAAGGTCCAAACTTTCTGCTGAATCACTCAACACATATAATGTAAGTAGCTTGGTGTCCTAACATAAACCTTGTTTATTGACAAAATAAATGTAAAATGTCAATAGATGACATCAGGATCAGTAAGGATTGTATTGTTTGCTATTTAAACTTGAGATATAAGTACTACAGCAAATTGCTGATAACTTTCTTTGCATTTAACTTTCGATGAGATTTGATAAGGACAATGTTACATAATGATTGATATATCGCATTTAATATTGGGGCAACTTCTGACATAAATATTGAGAGAGTTCCATGACGTATACCATGAAGAAAGATAGGTACATTGCTGGAGTTCCATGACGTATACCATGAAGGAAGATAGGTACTTTGCTGGAGTTCCATGACGTATACCTGATGGAAGATAGGTACATTGCTGGAGTTCCATGACGTATACCACGAAGGAAGATTGGTACATTGCTAGAGTTCCATGACGTATACCATGAAGGAAGATAGGTACTTTGCTGGAGTTCCATGACGTATACCTGATGGAAGATTGGTACATTGCTGGAGTTCCATGACGTATACCACGAAGGAAGATTGGTACATTGCTAGAGTTCCATGACGTATACCATGAAGGAAGATAGGTACATTGCTGGAGTTCCATGACATATACCATGAAGGAAGATAGGTACATTGCTGCAAGGGGGCACGGGTGGCCCAGTCGTCTAAGGTGCCGCGATTCGCTGTTCAGATTTGTGTCCCTTGGGCACGCCAGAAACCTATGATTGTAGGTTCGAATCCCGGTTTGCCCCGATAAGGTTTCTAGGTTTGTCAGCACCATACCCGTGCTCATGGGTTTCACCGAAGTGGTAAACGTCTGAGACCTGCCTCACTTCGGGCTTTCCTCCCACATTAAGCTGACACGCCGCGATATAACTGGAATACTGTTAAAAGCGGCGTAAAACCCAACCCACTCACTCACTCACATTGCTGCAAATGAAACACACATTTGGATTCTGAAACAGTATATTTACAATTATTACCAATTACGTATGTAATATGGACACACACTGTAGAGCCAGTTAGATAATTATGTAAAATTGTATATTTGAATACCTGTAAATGACTTCATCAGCAGTCACTGTTAAATAAGTGACTGTGTACACATTTAACACAATTGCATCAGTTGTCTCAAATTGGGCATCACAACACGTGTATGAACAGTCGTTTTCTTGAGTTCGCCTCCTCAATAAAAGATACATTACATGACTTAAGATCATCGATGGTTAGGAATCGTTCACTTTATGGCTATTGGAAACCACGTCCTTGACTATCCAGGGTATGATATCTCCACCCTATTATCATAAACAAATACCCGTGACCCATTCGACACCCTGATTTCGTTTCGGAAGTGACGTCACTATCTCCATCTCTAACGCAGCATAGTACTTCTCTCGCCGATTGGAGCAATCGTGCTAATCGAATCAAGCTTTAAGCAAAGCCTTTGTAGCGAATGGGTCCAATGTATTTATCATGATTAAATTGAGATATAATGCCATGGATAAACAAGGATGTTGAGATGTTCTCATTTCTTCAGTCTGCCAAGAACTGCTTTCTCGAGCCCGAGACAAGGAGATTCGACAAGGACACTTGTGATGAAGGACAAGGCATAAGCCACGATGAATGTTCCTAAGAAGTGATAACTCTGTCAAGAAAAAACACATTTGAGAGCAAACCATACTCCACCATATAAGCCATGCACATTAACATTGAGATAACGGATTAGTGAATAAACGTCACTGTTCTTGTAAATTTGTTCTTTGATATAATTTTCACAGCTATATTGACCTTTACGCCAAATGGAATCTGTTACGGTAGGTAATCTTGACTGGTTATCCGCTTGCATTGACAATTTATATTCATGAGGTTTCGTCCAGAGGTACTTACCACATAAGGAATATCAGCATATCTCAGAGACCTCACAGAAAACTCGGTGTAGGAGAGAAGCACCGGGTGGGCGAGATAGGCTCCGTACGTTAGTCTTCCCAGGGGAATCCAGGCAGGCCAGGACAGGAGACTATTGACGAAACCTTCAACAACCAAAGCATGTTAGTAATCTTTTAAATATATGATTAATTTAATTGATTCAGCTAATTGAAACATGTTATTTCCGTCTGTAAACTAGAGAGTTATAGCCTGTAAGTTTAGACTGCGATCCTATTGCAATATACGGCTGGTCCGACACTCTCGGTCCTACAACAACTATCACCGTTTTGTTAGACGACTTTGATTCAAGGAAAATACCTCTTGATATATCGTAGGATTGATCCACGTGAACTCCAGAATTGTTATCCTCCTAAATGTACATCCCCCACACAAATACACACATACACACTCTCAACGAATCTTCCCCCACGTCCTATACAGCACACACGAGTAAAACCCCACGTCCTATACAGCACACGAGTAAAACCCCACGTACTATGCAGCACACGATTAAAAGCCAATGTCCTATACAGCACACGAGTAAAACCACATGTCCTATGCAGCACACACGAGTACAAGCCTACGTCCTATACACCACACTAGTAAAACCCCACGTCCTATGCAGCACACGAGTAAAACCCCACGTCCTTTACAGCACACGAGTAAAACCCCACGTCCTATACAACACACGAGTAAAACCCCACGTCCTATGCAGCACACGAGTAAAACCCCACGTCCTATACAGCACACGAGTAAAACCCCATGTCCTATGCAGCACACACGAGTACAAGCCTACGTCCTATACAGCACACTAGTAGAACCCCACGTCCTATGCAGCACACGAGTAAAACCCCACGTCCTTTACAGCACACGAGTAAAACCCCACGTCCTATACAACACACGAGTAAAACCCCACGTCCTATGCAGCACACGAGTAAAACCCCACGTCCTATACAGCACACGAGTAAAACCCCATGTCCTATGCAGCACACGAGTAAAACCCCACGTACTATGCAGCACACACGAGTAAAACCCCACGTCCTATACAGCACACGAGTAAAACCCCATGTCCTATGCAGCACACTGAAAAAAACTTCTATGTCCGATGCAACACACTTGTAAAACACACTAGGATTATTCAGTATAGACACGCGCATCCACACTTCCAACAGGGCCTTGTGCAGTGACCCTTCCCTGAGTATCTCAACCCTGCCTTACCCCCATGTCCTGTGCAGCACACTAGTATGACCCAGGACACAAACACCCCCCACAGTGGTCTGTACAGGGTCTCGTGTACAATCCGGGTATCCACGTCCCATGGTGTATGACCCTCGCCGAAGTCGTCGTACGTCACATAGGTACACAACAAACCGATAGTCAGGATCACTTGCCAGCCAAGCACCAGGACATACTGAGACAAAGGTAAAACATGGTACATGATGTGTATGGAAGACTCTTACAAGGTGTACTTTGACAGTTCTGTTTCATATAACTTCTCTCATGGCATGCCAGAATAAATATAGTCATTTGAAAATATCGGGCGTTCTTTAACTTTTTTTAGCAATATTATTACTGTGTACACAATGTCATTCACCGTAAAAAAATGTGAATATCTTAACAATTTTTAAACACTTACTTAAACGTGCACAACATGTGAGTACATATTTGAAACACAATTACAGTAAATAGACGTCTTCAATTCCTTTAAGTTAGATACTAGTAGTTAGTGTCTAGCTTACTCTTGGTATCCTGATTTTACACTTGGTCCTCTGTAAGATGGCACCGAGCATCATGCCTACAGCAAACACACCAACGCGGCACCAGGGCAAAGGGTAGATCTTGTTCATAGAGTCAGCATTACCCCTGAAGTGGGTGAGTGAGTGAATTCGGTTGAAAGCAACCTTAAACAGTATTTCAGAATTATCACAGCGTGTCAGCGTGTTGTTGGGTTCGAAGCCTGAAATGAGGCAGATCTTAGACGTTTACTACGTTGGCGAAACACATGAATATGCTAGGGTGCTGACAGACGAGGAACGAGGATTTGAACCCACGAACACGGGTTTCTGGCACACCCTTGGGTCGTAACTCCGTACAGGGAATTGCGGCGCCTTAGACGACTGTTCCACCTATGCCCCCTTACCTCTAAAACAAGAAGTGTAACATTGTTAAACTATTACTTAAAAATGTACCGATGTACATTACGTCCTTGTTACGACATTACCCGACAAATCTAGACATACATTATAGGAACAGCGCTCCAACGTTAACACAAAGCGAAGACATCTTGGCGTGTAGATATATAGGACATAAACTCACACAAACTGAGTGGCACCTCCCAGCTTCCATTCCAAGTACCCGTAGCTTCCAATGTGGACCGCTCCAAAGAGACACATGACGCTGTATCCAAGCCAGGGAATTCTGTGATGACAATTTAAGCAAGTACAAGTACCACATTCCTTATGAACAATATACACTACCCAGTACAAGTACCACATTTCTTATGAACAATATACACTACCCAGTACAAGTACCACATTTCTTATGAACAATATACACTACCCAGTACAAATACCACAATTCTTATGAACAATATACATTACCCAGTACAAGTACCACATTTCTTATGAACAATATACACTACCCAGTACAAATACCACAATTCTTATGAACAGTATACATTACCCGGTTCAAATACCACAATTCTTATGAACAATATACACTACCCAGTACAAATACCACAATTCTTATGAACAATATACATTACCCGGTTCAAATACCACGATTCTTATGAACATTTTAACTGACTAGTACACATTCATACACGCTTTATGGACCATATACACTACCCAGTACAAATACCACAATTCTTATGAACAATATACACAGCCCAGTACAAATACCACAATTCTTATGAACAATATACACTACCCAGTACAAATACCACAATTCTTATGAACAATATACACTACCCAGTACAAATACCACAATTCTTATGAACAATATACATTACCCGGTTCAAATACCACAATTCTTATGAACATTTTAACTGACTTGTACACATTCATACACGCTTTATGGACCATATACACTACCCAGTACAAATACCACAATTCTTATGAACAATATACACAGCCCAGTACAAATACCACAATTCTTATAAACAATATACACTACCCAGTACAAATACCACAATTCTTATGAACAATATACATTACCCAGTACAAATATCACATTTCTTATGAACAATATACACTACCCAGGACAAATGTCACAATTCTTATGAACAATATACACTACCCAGTACAAATACCACAATTCTTATGAACAATATACACTACCTAGTACAAATACCACAATTCTTATGAACAATATACACTACCCAGTACAAATACCACAATTCTTATGAACAATATACACTACCCAGTACAAATATCACAATTCTTATGAACAATATACACAGCCCAGTACAAATACCACAATTCTCATGAACAATATACATTACCCAGGACAAATGTCACATTTCTTATGAACAATATACACTACCCAGGACAAATGTCACAATTCTTATGAACAATATACACTACCCAGTACAAATACCACAATTCATATGAACAATATACATTACCCAGTACAAATACCACATTTCTTATGACTAATATACACTACCCAGTACAAGTACCACATTTCTTATGAACAATATACACTACCCAGTACAAATACCACATTTCTTATGAACAATATACACTACCCAGTACAAATACCACATTTCTTATGAACAATATACACTACCCAGTACAAATATCACAATTCTTATGAACAATATACACTACCCAGTACAAATACCACAATTCTTATGAACAATATACACCACCAAATATAAATACCACAATTCTTATGAACAATATACACTACCCAGGACAAATGTCACAATTCTTTTCGGATTTGTGCTTAACTAGTAGTATGCGTAAAACACCTTTACCATTCACGGATGTGTGTGTATGTATGTTTAATCATACAAGTAACGTTGATACTTTTACAATTGGAAGTTATGAAGGTGGTCGATCGGGTAGAAGTATAAACGACTTGGAACACTTTCACTCAAACAAATTCTATATGTATTCAGGACATCTTACACATCCAAATTACTTCGCAAATTATTCTCATTCCATCTAGTGGTTCTTAGCTGTTACCTTATGATCCAAAATGCACTCATCCTTTTCGCAAAATTTGATTACAATTGTCATTTGGTCTGTCCTCAAATTGGATATAGTGATAATCAATTACCATCTAGAATAGGGGCGGTGGAGGTAGCCAACTGGTTAAATCGTTCCTTCGTCATGCCGTTTCTCCACGTGGGTACAATGTGTGAAGTCCATTTCTGATTTCCCCCGACGTGATATTGCTGACATATTGCTTAAAGCGACGTTAAATCATACTCACTCACTCACTCACTCAGTCCCTCCATATAAATCTATGACCTTACCCAAATGCAATAGGCAGCAAAGCAAGGGGAGCAATCACGTAGAACTGCATATCCGCGGCCAGAAACCATGAAGCAGGGAAGCACTGAAATGACATGTCTTTGTACAGTGTTCTTAATGTACTTGAATAAAGTGAGTGAGTTAGGATTTATAGTCACATCGGCAATATTTCAGCCATATCGTGACTAAAGCAAGTTGTACATTAATAATACATACTTGAATAAAGAACAACAGTAACTCATTTAGACGACCAACACAATACAGTGACACTACCTTAATGCTAGTCGTCTAAGGCGCAGCGATTCACTGACCAGAGTTGCGTCCCTTGGGCATGCCAGAAACCTATGATTGTGGGTTCGAATCCCGGGTCGCCCCGATTATGTTTCTAGGTTTGTCAGCACCGTGCTCGTGGGTTTCACCAAAATGGTAAACGTCTGAGACCTGCTTCACTTCGGGCTTACCTCCCACATTAAGCTGATACGCCGTGATATAACTGGAATAATGTTAAAAGCGGCGTTAAACCCAACTCACTCACCAATGACATTGAATTTTAGGTAACACCTGGTATCATCACTATTTGCTTGTGATTAATGGACGCGTGCTCATGATATGGTCCGAATTGTACAATCGACTCTTCTTTTGGTAGATATTTCTTATGGATATCGAAAGGGTTTGTCGCTTTAATTTAATTTCATCAAAAGTCATCTTTAATTTCATATCCAGGGCATAATATATCTCCAGTACACATTGCGGCAAGAAACAAATGTGTGACCCAGTGAACGCGGCGACATGGCTATCTGCAGGTAAATCGTCTGGTCCAAACATACAGGCCGCAGTGATATTAACTCACTCACTGAGGCAAATTACACTTCCGTATCTTGGTAAATATATTGGCAAGAAATATCATTTTTCTGTATAATCCGATTTTTGAAATTGCAGACTCAATTGAAACTACACTTATAAAAATATAAATACATGTACAGATAATTTTATTATTAATATTATTTCGGTGGGTAATTTTGGTTCTAATAATGTTTTTCTTACGTTATTAACTTAATTTGCAAATATCGTCAACCTGTTTATTTAAAACACTTAATTCGTATATCTATGCATGAAATCCAATTATGCAGTTTACCATGTCTTTAAAGTTGTAGAAGTTATTAATATAAAGTATGTTTGTCCACCAATTGTCTCTACAGTTGTCCTTTTCGAAAATGTTCCTTGATTCAGCGACTGGTCCCTGAATAAGATGACCGAGCAGCCCGCTGTAGAACAGGATGATAAACATGTACACTGGAGTTAACCTGTGGAAAGAAAACGGGAATAGCTATAGAACTCAGATCTAGAGCATTGACAGCAGATGTATTGGTTAGCTACACAGCATGTCACATTGAGTAGAACACAGCGTTCAGCACTAAAGAAGGGACTGTGCTTGACTGAAGCTCACATGCTATCACTTCCCCCAACTTAATCAGAGGCAAACATGATATCAAGTTTGAAGCACTGGCACCGAATGTGTTGGTAAACTACATAACACAGTACACGTGGTTGTCAAGGTTCCACAGGGACGCGTTTAAGTTGATATAATGTGTGGTAAACGTAACTCTCTACCTACACGACAGGGTTGCCTCGTCATCAAAGGCGGCGCAATTCTCTATGGAGAGTTGCGTCCCTTGGGCGTGCCACAAACCTGTGCTTCCGATTCTTACTGAATAGTTACTACATTTGTCATTAGCATATCCGCCATACTCGTGCGTGTGGTTTCATATTAAGTGATTTATTTGACCTTGTAAAGTGACAGGACACAGGTGTATAAATATATGCTTTCATTGCCCCTCACCTCCACCATCTGTGGATGTAGTAGATGACCATCTGTCTGGCTGTAGGCTTCCCTCTGGCGGACTTCGCACACTCTCTCAGGAACAAGAACGTCAACAAGCACCCGCTGAATATGATTACATTGAACACGTATATGTTATTACTTATTAGTGTAGTTTGAATTCGTGACAAAGTGTTTATGAATATTAAACTAAAATAAATGAATATAAAATAATACTTTGAATATATCATGGGAGTTTACCTGAGTACAAAGAATGTGTCTACCGCCAGAGTTCCATTTACAAGAAACTGCATTGTGAACCTCCTCATCCAGTTGGCATAGTCTAGCATGTTTTCCCCTGTCAACAAACAGGCATCCATTGGTCATAATATATAGATTCACTGAATGAATGGAGCAATAATGCAGTCCACGTTTTACAATCATTCCCAAAGCATTTTCAGAACACGACAATGAGTACATATATGTACAGTAAAACGTCTTTGACTGGAATTCGCGTATGTATGTATCCTTATGCCACTTAATAGTTCCGGTAAAACCGATGGTCGCGTTGGTCTCGAACAACGGGTATCTCGACACATACCGATAAAAAGAGGTTAGGAATCACGAATATTATTTAGGTATTTTTATGAAATTGTATGCTCAGTGTTCACTACAAAAACTATCCCCCAATATATCCATGACCTCAAACTCTTTTGTTCATAATATATAGTGAATCTCACCCGAGTGTCTTTTGATATCAAATATATCAACACGAGTTGATAAAAGTGGAACATTTCCGAGGCTTGCCGAGGATATTTGCCACTTTTATCAACGAGTGTTGATATATTTGATATCAAAAGACACTCGGGTGAGATTTTATTTATCATCCGACATCATTCTTCCAACTTTTTCAATTTGTAGACAGTAATTAGCAGTGTCTTCAGTGTAAAAAGTACTGCTAACAGCTTCAGCAGCAGAGCCATAAGTGGTTTCAATTGATTGTGACGTCATGGTAACCAGTGACGTCACGATGGTCTGCAAAGCATTGTGATGTAATTTCATTGCAGCGATATCTACAGTGGATGATAAATGTACAATAGACTCCGCTTTTAGCAGAGATTTTTTGTAGTTATGGAAAGGGTTTTGTCACTAATCTTCGCTGTCTCCGAATGAATCTACATGTTAATTGAGGCGCAAAAGAAAGTATACCGAGTATTATTGTTTTGTAATTGAAATTTGAAAGAACTGTTGTTAAATTTGATGATGTCCATTTAACCATCACCCATTCCTGAAACAATTTGTTAAACGTAATATGTGGCGGGGTAATATTGTATAAACATTAATTGGAATCAATGAAGTCTTGGGTAAGAAATGAATTTGCAACCACATGACATGTTTGAATTGTTGCTCTTTCGATTATTTAATCGTTATATCAAGTTTATTTTAAAAATTCAAAGTTTCGATTTGTCCTCTCGTTATTTCAATTTTCGAGAAAATAATTAAATTGATAACGAGAAAACAATCGAAATAACGATAAAATAATCGAAGTAACGAGAAAAAACTTGAAATTTCGAGAAAATAAGCAAATAATTGAATGTAATGTACCAAAGTTGCACCATAAGGCTTTCGTAACTGAGGACCTATTCCACGCGATTCCTTTAACAAATCGAGAGTGTCTAAGAATGAACGCTTTCAAGTGGTTTACGGAAACCAGGGAACATTGATGTCATTATATAACCACTGTTCACACGCGAGAGGAATACATTTATTAAAAGATAGAAACACAACCATTTCCGTAATCATAAAAAAATCTCTGCTATAAGCAGAGTCCACTCTAGATTCCGATCATAAGCATGTGTTTATTAATATCTATCACTATTTGTGAAATCGCTATTAAAGTCGCATTACGCACATGTGCTCATGCTATCCCAAGTCATGGAGTGACCGAGGATGACCCAGGCCATACTGAGTACGCGGATGCCATGGATACAGCCCAGGTTTCCATCCCCCGTCCTGGTGTTGAGGATCTTTTCAGTGTTCCTGCTGATGGAGAACGACAGGAGGAGTTGACGACCCAAACCTGATTAAATACAAGGCAGTACACAAAGCTACAAAAAGTGACAATGTAAAGCCATATTGTCAAATGATATTATCACTGAGTGGGACACTGCCATTTATGAAGTAAAAATAAATTAGACGTGGAAACGACATGATATCATTATTAATGACCAGTAGCCTGGTGGTTAAAGGTTCACCTCAGTCCAATTGCCCATATCGTAACAATATATGAAGCATTTAGTAGTGACCCCTGCCTTGACCTGGCAGGCATATAGCGAAGAAATCTCCTCTCCTTTCTCATGCTCATGTTAAAGGCCGTTACAGTTCATATCACCAAGCAGATACCAACTGATTTGGACACTATAGCTTATATGCAGATGACCTCAAACTAAAACGTCGTGAGCATATTACACCTTTCACATGCTCTCTGTTAATATTGAGTGTACCAACCAATGCTGTTTTCCTTTTGCTGATTTTGTTCTCCATGCGAGATCTTTCCTATTCTAATTCTTGGTAATCCATTAGATGCATGACCGTTGTTCTCCTTCCCACGTAGAATATCGTCGTCGGTGACGAAGGCTTCGCTGATGTATGCGCCACTGTCATCTTCATTGTCATTACATTTCTGTCTGTAGCGCTCAATCTCGACAGTAATGATGTCATATGATGTCCCAATGAGCGACAGAGCGACGACAAGACAGATGACGAATCTAATAACATATAACGCAAAATTGGAACAGTTGGAGGTATTTACGAGATTGGATAAGAACATTAATAACTTGGGATCGAGACTCGATATATTTAGTCAGGGCAGGATAGGTCATCAGTACATCATGGTTATCTTAAAGGGGGTAACCTAGCTAGTCATTCGGAAGCCTCGGGTTCCATTATCCACATGGGTACAATGGCTATGATTCATACACATAATGCAACTTGAGATTTTACAGTCAAACCATCTTGGGTTTGAATGAGTAGTTCCAATTTGAGCACAAATTTCACCATTCGCTCATCTTTTTTACGTACACTGTAGCCACAGCCGTACTGTCTTCCTTCCAGTCAGAGAGTTTCGTGAAGTACGCTGTGATCAGTGAAACACCGGTAATATTCTTTACAACTGAAACACAGTTAAACACATGGCATCCAAGTATCTTTTTTCGCGTTTTCTATTTTATTGTGCTAAGGGACAAACATATTGTTTGATGGCGCAGTTGTCAAAGGCACGAGTCTTGTCTCCCTTTGTCGTGTCAGAATCCTGTGATTGTTGGTTCGATTCGAAGATACGCCCTGTTGATTGTTGTATTCCAATGATGTAAACGTCTACGACCTGTGTCCCTCCTGGTTTTCCTCTTACACACATTCATGTCGTGAAACACAACTAATTTTTTACTAAGTCTTAACAACCCATTATTTCACTTTAATTTTAAAGGATAAGTGGCTGGGTTGATAAATGTGTTGCTTGTGTTTCAACGGTTTCAATATTTTCGAGTATTGCATGACACATGATTTATGAGTCAAACTGACTAATAGCTAACTTTCTTATCTGTTTGTAAATAGTAACGTTCAGCATTCACTTACAAATTCACATATATCATATCAGGGAGGTAAAGGTCGAATTAGTTAGCAATAAATATGCCACATGATATGAAAATATATAAGTTATTTAAACAGCTGGGTAAAGATTACGTACGGATTGAGGCTGCGTCAGACACTGCACTGTCATTACACGACTTGGGTAGACAAAGGTCCCACTGAACAGTCGGTTGACCAAGCTGCGGAAAAAAGCACCTGCCTTCATCATGGCTTTCAAATGTCATGAGATTAACAGTACCTTTAATGTAATGATAGCTAATACGATCGGACATCAACATTTATGAATGTATCCATGTAAGTTAGGTCATGTACAAAATATGAAATCCTGTTCTACACTACCGAGATGGCTTGGGTGTAAACGATTCATTGGGGTGGCACATTTTGTTCAGCAAATGTTTGATCAATGATTTGAATCATCTTTGAACCTAAACAAGACATCCTCACCCCTAACTTGTCTTCTTAAAACAAAATAAAAAATATAAACTGAGGAGCAAAATATAATTAACCTTATTTTAATGCTATGTTTTATTTTCAGTTGACAATATCTTACATAAAGCAATGAACTCTACTGGCGCTTAGTCAACACTCAAAGGATACTTCTACATAGTTTCATTTTTAAAAATATGATTTGATTTAAAATTTTGAAAATTAAAAGAAAAGTGTTTTCGCATAATACACAACTGGTGATTGGTATGTTAGACATCTTATGTATAAAAAAACAATAAATTACTTTTTTTCGCCACACATTTACAACATTTCAAACGTGGTCATGCATGTGGTTGCAAATTCATCTCTTACTCCAATCTTCATGGAACCAATGAATGTTTACACAAAATTACTCAGCCACAACTCACGTTTTACAAACTGTTGTAGGAATGAGTGATGGTTACAAATACATAATCAAATTGAACATTTCTTTCAATTTTCTTCGCTCCTCTTTTAAGATAAAACATTTTATGTGAAATATATTTACGGAGAAGGGCATATTTCCATTCGTTAGATTGCTGATTGCTGCTGGAATGGTGAAGACGAAGTGACAGTAGTTCCCCTTGATCATGTGACCAGAACTGGTGCTCCCGTTTGTTACGGCGTGGGTCACAAGTAGACATTCGTCGTAGTTACCCAAGAACTTCAACGCCCCTTGTAGTATGCTTCTGCCAGGTTTGCCCGATGCATCCAACACTGCAACCAATCATTTCTCTGAATATACCACTGGAAAGAGTTAAGCGTCGCTTCCTCCAAATTTCCCCCCAAACAGCCACTTTCTAAAATTGTATCCAATAATAATTTTCTGTTTTAATTGTTTTTAAACTGACATACAGAGACCGAATGCGAAATATATATGATCTGATATCGTTCAGTAATTGTCGAATATTGTGCTTGTGCCTCCGGTGAGGCAGGACACGCTCACCTTGTCGCGAATACATTGTGTCATCACTAATTGATTGTGATTAGTGAGTGGGTGAGTGAGTGAGTGAGTGATTTAAAATTTAACGTCACTGATAGTGATTAATAGACACAATCTTACAATGGAATCGAATAGTGAACTCTGCTTTTAGTAGATACTTCTTATGATAAGGGAAATGGTTATATATTGCCACTCTGAATGTTAATGGTAAATCTAAATATGAAACAGGTGAGGCGGGGAGTCTGTATTTCTACTCCAGGCGGGTAAATCGGTGGAAGGGAATTGGCCAGCTGGCCGTTAATGAACGATATCGGATCATGGTGATTAGATTTTGCCACTTGGAGAAAATATTCAATCTGCATAAAGAATGGCCAGCATGAAGGGGGCTTATTTTGGGGCATATGGGGATGCCTACTTCTTGCCTTAATGTCTTATCCCCAAATTTTACACACGTGTTATCTATGAGGAGGTCCAGCACTTCCCCTACTTCCTCATTTTACTTAAGATGACATTTGCTTTTATTTGTGACGCACTGCCCAGAGTCTGCTTCTGAAGATAGCGATGTATGTCACTATATATGAGGCATCACGTTTTCAGTCATATATATATTGGATGCTGCTTATGTATTTTCCAGGTGTATAGATTGGTTATTATCATAAATTCGCCACAGTTTTAAGCCTTTGTTTGTCAGCGTCATACTCGTATAATCGTGTTTCTACCCATGCAGATAAAAACACCCTGGCTGTTTCAGAAATATTTTGAAATCAGCGAAACCCCACGCACACACAACCACTATTACCTTGCTTCCCGTATCCCCAAAACGTTAGTGTCAGTGTTAAAAAGACGTACTTATGTGCGTATTTATGTATAAACTTATTTAAAGGTAGGCATAGTTGAACGTCTCCAATAAGGCTTTCCACAGTGGACATCTGACTTTCCAACACCCAGGTGATTTAAACAAATATCTATACTACTTTTGTTGATATTATTTGTGATATAAATATCTGCATCGAAGGCAAAACTGTTCGTTCTTCTTAATGTTTAAAATGACCTTAAAGCATTGGTCAAGGAACTCTTATGTTGTGGCGAATTACATAAATGTGTGTCAGACTCACTTTGCAAGGCCCACATCTGACCCTGTTCCACACCCTGGAGGTAGGCGCTGACGTCAGCTGTGCATCGGTCCTCGCTCTCAAGACCCTCAGGAGTCAGGAAATACTGCACCTCTGACAACATGTTCTCCAACGTTGACAGCAACGTTTGAAACTGTGTCTCTTCGCCATTATTTAATACGCTTGACGTATATTTTCCATTGTTGACTCCCAAAACGGTCATCAACTGAGAAACTGTCTGGGGGTTTCGAAGGAGTGTCTGGATTATACTACCCGACAGTGTCGGTCGGTCTGGAGGGGACGAAGCAAGTTTGCCTTGAGGAATATGGGTATTTGGTGATACTCTTCTCTCTACCTCCTCTTGGCTTTGGCTTGGAACCACCAGCTCATCTTTAGATCCTGAAGCTGAAGATTCAATTCCTCCTTCCGTATCTTCTGCAATTGTGGTAGTTGACTTCTGTTCATCTTTGTAAATCGGTGCGTGTTTCACTGAACACGTTGCCGGAAGAAGAACTAATAATGTTATTGTTACAAAGTACATCGAGGGACACATCTTTTACCCTACTTGTCACAGGCTGGCGAAAGTGTAAGCGCGAGTGTTGGCTCTCAGTAACGTCTCGTAGTAGGGTCCAGATAACGAAAACAAACATCCAACTGATAACAAGGTCGCCTAACAACCTTACCGTAAAACAGCTAAGATGCAGCAATGAAATAGTTCATATTGACAGGCGGGATATTATGCGTTTGAAGAATACATGTACATGTAGCTGCCTAAATGTTACAATGGTGACTTTATATTAGTACATTACGATTACTAAGTTAGCTGTTTAGAGATGACCCTGGACATGATTCTTGTACAACATGGTGCAATAGTTAACGGCATGTCTATTGCCAGTTATGGTGCAATAGTTAACGGCATGTCTATTGCCCGTTATGGTGCCATAGTTAACGGCATTTCTATTACCCGTTATGGTGCAATAGTTAACGGCATGTCTATTGCCCGTTATGGTGCAATAGTTAACGGCATGTCTATTGCCCGTTATGGTGCAATAGTTAACGGCATGTCTTTTACCCGTTATGGTGCAATAGTTAACGGCATGTCTATTGCCCGTTATGGTGCAATAGCTGAATATCGTTTCTTCTTGTGCTTATAGGGGGCGTGTAATCTAAGACTGCTCAAGTCGCCAGGTTGCATGGGCGTGCCAGAATCCTACCCACATGTCCGTCGGTTTCAATCCCCGGTTCGCCCTGTTTATATGTTTAAGTTTGTCAGCACCATATCCGTTCTCGTGGGTTTCACGACAGTAATAAACGTCTATGATCTGCATCACCACATTGAGCAGATACGCCATGATGGAACTGAAATACTGATCAAAATGCATCATCTGTGTCCCGCCCCATGTGTTACAAGACCAGAACACAAGTGTCCCGTGCAATGTGTTACAACCCCAGAACATTCGTGTCTCATCCCATGTGTTACAATACCAGAACACATGTTTCTCACCCTATGTGTTACAAGACCAGAACGCACGTGTCCCGCCCCTTGTGTTACAATACCATAACACACGTGTCTCATCCCATGTGTTACAAAACCAGAACACAAGTGTCCGGCCCCTTGTGTTACAATACCAGAACACACGTGTCTCGCCCCTTGTGTTACAAAACCAGAACACACGTGTCTCACCCCATGTGTTACAATACCAGAACACACGTGTCTCACCCCATGTGTTACAATACCAGAACACTCGTGTCTCACCCCATGTGTCACAATACCTGAACGAACTGTCTTACCGCATGTGTTACAATACCTAAACGAACTGTCTTATCCCATGTGTCACAATTAATAATCACCCGTTTCTTATCCCATGTGTTACAATACCAGAAATCCGTTTCTTATCCTATGTGTTACAATACCTGAACGAACTGTCTTATCCCATGTGTCACAATACCAGAACACCTGTGTCTTATCCCATGTGTTACAATACCAGAACACACGTGTCTCACCCCATGTGTTACAATACCAGAACACTCGTGTCTCACCCCATGTGTTACAATACCAGAAATCCGTTTCTTATCCTATGTGTTACAATACCTGAACGAACTGTCTTATCCCATGTGTTACAATACCAGAAATCCGTTTCTTATCCTATGTGTTACAATACCTGAACGAACTGTCTTATCCCATGTGTCACAATACCAGAACACCTGTGTCTTATCCCATGTGTTACAATACCTGAACGAACTGTCTTATCCCATGTGTCACAATACCAGAACACCTGTGTCTTATCCCATGTGTTACAATACCTGAACGAACTGTCTTATCCCATGTGTCACAATACCAGAACATCTGTGTTTTACCGCATGTGTTACAATACCTGAACGAACTGTCTTACCGCATGTGTTACAATACCTCAACGAACTGTCTTAACGCATGTGTAACAATAAATAATCACCCGTTTCTTATCCCATGTTTCACAATACCAGAACATCTGTGTCTTATCCCATGTGTTACAATACCTGAACGAACTGTCTTACCGCATGTGTTACAATATCTGAACGAACTGTCTTATCCCATGTGTAACAATACCAGACATTCGTTTCTTATCCTATGTGTTACAATACCTGAACGAATTGTCTTATCCCATGTGTCACAATACCTGAACGAACTGTCTTATCCCATGTGTAACAATAAATAATCACCCGTTTCTTATCCCATGTGTTACAATACCTGAACGAACTGTCTTATCCCATGTGTCACAATACCTACACATCAGTGTCTTATCTATGTCCTATGGAAAGAACCATGTCGCTTATATTCATAATACTGAACAACGGTGTATTTCCCCATGTGTCACAATACCCCAGTATCCACGTTTAGTCCCATCTGTTACAATACCTGCATGCCACCTCTACATTTCCCCATGTGCTACCATACTTGAACACCCTTGTCTTACATATGTTATATATATATGTAGTTTTGTCACTTATATTTACAATACTGAACACCCGTGTCGTATTGTCCTTAAGTAAACTACGGTTATAACGAACACGCTTATAACGAACTGACGGATATAACGAACTTACTTTTTAGTCCCGACTATTTGCTGTGGTTATGCTGTATATATGCTTATAACGAACTACGGTTATAACGAACTAAAAATAGTAGTCCCTTTGAGTTCTTTATAATCGTAGTTTAAGGTAATTGCATTTTGGGGTAAACGGGACCCTACTACAGTTACCTAATTTAATGCCGTTCCGCGCCGTCATGGTCGAGGTAAACCACGACTTTGCTACTCGCTTTGTCAGAATCGGGTCGTCTTAGTCAAGGAGTAATTGGTCTATCAACCCAGACTCCGAACTGTCTCGATCAGCATTCATCAACCGGCCCTTGCTCTCATTGAGCAACACAACATGTGGGTTACACTCACATACATTTAACGCTCCAGTCCATCTCCAAAGACGGCTTCTAAATAAAATCGGCTAGACTCGTGACAGAGTGTGAAAACATACTGATGGCAAAGGGCCAGAGTCAACTGGAATTACCGCACTACTCAGCTGGTGCTAAATGTATCTTTTAAGGTGATCTAGTCTGACCTTTCTTTGTCACATGTATTAATGGTTGGTTGGTTTTTACGCCGCACTCAGCAATATTCCAGCTATATGACGGCGTTGTATAAATAATCGAGTCTGGACCAGACAATCCAGTGATTGATATCATGAGCATCGATCCACCCAATTGGGATCGATGACATGCATCAACCAAGAGAGCGAGCCTGACCACCCGATCCCGTTAGTCGCCTTTTACGACAAGCATAGTCGCCTTTTACGGCAATCATGGGTTGCTGAAGACCTACTCTACCCCGGATCTTCACGGGTCACATGTTTTAATGCCTCAATTTGATTCGTTAACAGTTTGATCTGACCATGAACTCATGTGGGTCGTACTCGGAAAAATACCGAAACCTGCGTGCCACATTGGTCATCACTACATTGATTCATTACCTCATCGCCGCTAATGTGGAACCAATCCGATAATAAATATGAAATGTCCGGAAACACTCCGATGATAAATGTGAAATGTCCTTTCTCTATTAACTCCTTTCTAACTAAAGGTTCTCTGTCGCAACTTTATAAATAATGCAACTAAATCATTGCAGCTATCAACGGTGTGAGTTGTTACAATTTTGTTACCATTTTCTAATGTTTTTGAGATGCATTTTAACCTTATAACAGTATCCCATGCATTAACATTCTGGACACCTGTGTCTTATCCCAATGTGTTACAATACGAAACACTCGTGTCTTATCCCATGTGATATAATACCTCAATACCCGTATCTTAAAACGCCTCAAAGACCTATCTTACCCAATATGTTACAATACTGAACACTCGTATCTTACCCAGTGTGATATATAGAGATTACTACACGAGTGCCTGACAGATATCAACTTGGATATTGTTTCAGCTACAGTATTTTTAATTAATCGAAAAATATAAGTTGTCCCCGAAAATTCTTGAAAAATATAATTATGCTTCAGAGTGTTAAAAAAGAATTGCCTGCCACAAAAAATACATTGTTGCAAAGTGAACAGAAATTCAGGCTCATGGTTTTAAGTAAAAGAAATACCTGGTTTTTAAAGCTGTTGCTGAAGAAATATCTGACCTCTATACAAAATCCCAGTCCCCTCCAGAATATCAATTGGTCGGTCGCTAAGTTTGCAGTGTTCCGGCAACTGTTTTCAACCAAGCAACGGCTTGATAACGTTTGTACTTGGTTGCTCAAATCCAATATTCAAGTGTATACTTTCTTTTGTTCCGAAGTTTATCAACACAGGTCGTACAGTAAGTAAGGATAAAATATATGGATGAACAACTTCATTATTACAATTAGGTGCGACGTTTCGGTGTAGGTTCTAACACCGTTATCAAGCAAGTGATGTACAGAGTATGGTTGACATGTCACGTCAGAACGACCTTTCATCCAACCAATCAGAGCGTCGCTTACCAGATCATGAAAGTGACAGTCGGAATGTGATTTCTAATCATGCAACCTCGAAAACTTTAACACGGGGTATTCCGAACGATAGTTATGGGCTTAACGACTAAATCCATACAATCTAGACCATCTATTAGCCATTCATGAATGTTTCAAATTTTGGGGTTTAGTGGAAATCACAATTAATATTTAAGATCATGTAACAAAAACATCACATGTTCGCGAAATGAGTGGTGGTTACCATGAGGTGAGGTGGTTTGAAATGGGGGTTAAAGTCAAGATTATTGCACTTATATAGCGACGTGCATGCAAGTGTGTCTGTGTGTGTGGTTGCTTGTACTAGTCCGGACTAACGCCTATAGTATACAGTTAACCCACGGAGACACCATGCCGCGGTTTTAACAGCGATACTCTACTCAGACACAGAATACTGACTCCGAGCCGACCAGTCCTTATTTTAGCCCTTTAATGCCGATCGCCAGGCAGGATAACAACAAGTACCATCTTTTAACATCTTTTGGAATGACGTGGCCGGATATCGAAACCCGGACCTTCCCATTTCAGGGCGGACGCTCTACCGCTAGACCACGGAGGCGGTCTATAGGTCTATTACAAACTGTATTATAGGTATATGACAGAGTGACCATTGTGTCACTGAATGTAATAATTCCATTGAAATTGACTAAAAGACAACACGAGAAAAGAATTCTTAAGCTTCTGATCATTGAAATTAAGGTTTATTAAAATCTTCGCATCTTGTCATTCATTCAATTCATTTCGATGTCTACATTTGACACGCTGATTGGGGTATCAACTTGTCTACATCTATGCTATGTGGCATATATACATATGTGATGGAGTTCAGATTTGTACCCAAACATTATTCACTTTGGATATTCGTACCGATATCCTTCTTTCATGAAAATCATAGATATGTGTGAAGGCATCAAATAACATAAACTGTAGAAACAAATCATTTCAAAGACGACATCAGGTGAGTATACAAATGTAGACTTCATTCACGTGTGACTGAATCCACATGACCCTGTTTTGTCACGGGATAATTACGCACGGGCATTGAGTTATAGTATATTGATGTAAAGAGATGTTTGATCATATCGTGATATTATTTCACCATTTCATGTTTTTATTCATTTTATCATAACTTCACGATACACCTTATCTTATTTTTATACACTGAGTTACTTTAGAAGATATTTCTATAAATATACACTTATTATTTCACCACTTATTGTAGAATAACAAAGCTCAAACTCCGAGCTTTGAAACATTCCAGCAGAAAAGCTGATAAGAGATGCCAAGTTACAAATCAAAGGCATGCGACATGCGACATCCGGCATGCGACATGCGTCATGCGACATGCGACAAGAGGATACGTCGGTTTGCATCCTGTAGTTTGGGGAAATGCTTTAAGCATTGTGTTATTACAGTTTCGTGATAAAACTGAAGGAGTTTGATTAATACAATATCATAAAAGGAAGTATCACAAAGTAGTTTTACATGAACATATAAAAGGCGTCTGATCTCGTAAAAAGAACTATAATGTGGTCATAGTTCCTTTCAAATGGTGTGAGTAACAAAATGAGTAAATTATTATGTAACATTTATCAAGTTGTAAAGTCAAGTGTGAGAAACCCGTGGAAAATATTCTGATGTATTTAAATGTAACATGGGTGTACGCTAAGGATGTATTCCTAGCCCCTCCCTTTTCTGTCCTTTCATCAATGAACCTGTGGCAGAGGATCCAGACATTGTTGATATATATTTGTTGCTTTTTGCTGATGATATAGTTATGTTCTCGAGTACAGAATTTGATAGATAGGCTGGAGCTGTACTGTTCTAATTGTAAACTCCAAGTAAACACTGAAATAACGAAACTGTTTGTTTTTAAAAAAGGAAATATACTATCAAGTAAGGAAAATGGTTCTTTAACTCACAACCAGTACAGATTGTCACTTCTAAATATCTTGGGATTAGTTTCACGATCAGATTATCGTGGAATTGTCACACCAGTAATGCAGCAATGCAGGCAAAAAAGATATTCATGGGTATCTTACCATGTTTAACAACTTTCGCTGATCTTTCAGATACAACTTTTTTTTAAATATTTGATTTAATAAATGCTCTTATTCTTTTATATGGAGCAGAGGTCTGGGGTGATAATTAATACAGAGATATTGAACCAGTGCATCTGTATGCTTGTAAAAGATTCCTTGGCGTAAAACACTGTACATCGAGACTTATGGTATATGGTGAGTGTTGGCAACTTTACCTTTTTCAATGTATTAGAATCCTTAAGGGGGGGGGGGGGGGGGGGGGGGGCTAGCTACGGCACTGGTCAGTCTGTCCAAAATAAGACCATCCAATAAGTAAATATATATATAGATCTACCTAGAACATCCCACTTAATAAAACAAATATCAATACTAATGCTATGGTAATTAGAATATTAACTGCTCAACAAATTTGCAACCAGTCACGAAAATAGATATGACCTATGGCCTGTGGCGTTTCCGTGTGGAATGAGTCATCCTTATCCTCAAGTCAATTAGCAAATGGTGTAAAAAGTAGTTACGGGGAGGGACAACCAATGACACTTATTACAATTTCTGAATATCATATCAATGGGGGCTTTTACAGCCATGTTTTGAACTGATTTTACAAGTCTTCTATTCATGTCAATACCGATTCGTTGTCTTAAACCTTAGATACAAGTGATGTTTGAAACATTACAAGGAACTATAGAAAATTGCCTTATAAATATTTCAAGCGTTATGCCTCATACGGCCAATGATTTCGTACGGTGACTGCTAAAAAACAAATTAATCCGCCTTTGTTTTGTCGTTACAGGTTGGCGACGCAAATGTTATTCGATAATAAGATTTGTTTTTTTAACGCTGCACTCAAGCTATATGACTGCGGTCTGTAAATAATCGAGTCTGGACCAGACATTCCAGTGATTGACATCATGAGCATCGATCTTCGCAATTGGGATACGATGACATACACCAACCAAGTCAGCGAGCCTGGCCACCCGATCTCATTAGTCGTCTGTTACGACAAACACAGCCGTCTTTTACGGCAAGCATGGGTTGCTGAAGACCTATTCTACCCCGGATCTTCACGGGTCCGATGATAAGATGCCAAATACATTACATGGTGATGCTACAGCTGATGTTTAATCCTTTTAAAACTATTTCAAATGATTTAAGGCCTTTGTATTGAGAAAATAACAAGTCAAACGTGTGCCTTTCTACTAACACGTCATCAAAACATAAAGTTGAGTTGACATTTTGTGGTATAGGGGGCGATAACATGATACTAGTATTCAAGAATGAACCAACAAGACAAAGAATTAAGTAGCGAAGAAAAACCTTATATTCACGTGAAATATAACCTGTTCCAAGATGTGAGATGTGCAAGTGTACTGGGGTGTTTTGGCAGTGTTGATCATGTTTTAAAATTGTTTCGCCAATGCGATACGAAAAGACAGCATGAAAGCACATGTTAAAACGAAGAGGTACATTACAGTGACGGGTGCAAAGATACAAGGCATGGTACACAATCATGTATCCGATCCAGTCTTTCAGCTATTCACGTTCAGCCTTTTGGTTAGAGCCACTGCCCGTCCTCTCCAGGTGTTTCAGGACACGACCGTCGAAGGGCATGTGAGCTCCGCCAGTGACTGGAATACTGGCTCCGGTTATGAAACTAGCTTTGTCCGACAACATGAACGTCACCGCATGGTTAATGTCTTCCTGAGTTGTAAGACGACGGATGGGGTGGAAATAGTGGGTGAGTTTCTCCTCCAGCTGCAATTCGTAGGGGTGGCTATTACGTAAAATATTAGCTACAAAACCTTTCCATAATCATATGAATCTCTATCAAATAGTCATGATACCAGGTGTTCGCGAAAAGGCGAGCGTATTCTGCCCCACCGATTGCATCATCACAAATACACGAACAGGCAAGTCAAGTATTCACCCGAAAAAACACGGGAACACATGACACGTGAAAATAAAGACTTGCATCGGACATCATTCTTGTCACTTATGCGTCAAATTATTATAGACACGCATCAACTGTTAACAAGATCATGTCCTACCTTTTCAATCACAGTACTTAGTGTACATAAGGAATAAAACCAACATTTGGAAAGGAGGATGTTTCGTTACCGGTGAGTCGATCAAAGTATTTCAGTTATGCAAACTACTCAAAGTTATCAAATACGGAAGGCGCGGTGGGGTAACTCTGTGAATTGTCATTACCAAAAGCATTGGTTCAAATTGGCTTATCTGTGACCGGTCATAATCAATTCTGCTAATATTGTCAAAAACATATATTATGGATTTTTTAATTTGACTGTTATTACTTCTATGGAACCACTAAAAGAAGAAACGAAAGAACATATATTGATTGGAGGGGAAAGTCCGTGAACAAAACATTTTTAAAGAGGCCTTTTGTATTCAAAGCCTTCTCAAGTTACAAAAAGTTCCATGTATTATTAAACGTTACGTAGCTAGGAGTATGCGTGGTGACTTTCAGTATATGTTACCTTTCCCCTTACAGTTGTAGCCTTGCTTACAACTTGTTGCTTCATGTGATCTATCTACAACATGCAGCGAAACCTCCTAAATATGGACTTAACTGTTCACAAAGGAATTGGATTAAAAATTGTACAGATTAACGAAGCATGGGTATAGATTATTGTTCTTTGTGTAGTTTTTGACGTCCATAAAGTCCGAAAAGCGGGGTTTCCAATCCAATTTGTCTCGAGTCCACATGTAAACAGGTACCGCATACCATGTCGTGAGAAAGCCTTTAACCAGTAATCGTTCAAACTGGAGGCTGCCACGATGTTTAATTATACATGTTTGTTTGTTTGTTTGTTGTTTAACGCCGCACTCAGCAATATTCCAGCTATATGACGGCGGTCTGTCAATAATCTAGTGTTTGGTATCATGAGCATCGATCAACGCAAATTAGATACGATGACATGCATCAACCAGGTCAGCGAGTCTGACCACCCGACCCCGTTAGTCGCCTCCTACGACAAGCATGGGTTGCTGAAGACAAATTCTAACCCGGATCTTCACGGGTTGCAAATGTATGTTTCAATAGTCACTGAACATTTAATTTTCACAAACTGACTGCATATCAAAAATCCATGTACCCATGTCCACTGTCTAAAGAGTTGCAATGGATGCTTCAGTTCTTGACTGCTGTATTTGGACACAAGCTTACCGATAACTTCAAGATAAGAAACTAGGATTGCAAACAAATCACTGACCTGTGCTTCTTCTTCGGCCGTGAGGTTGCTGAACCGTCCCCACACACTGGTCATAAGGGCACCTGGCCTGAAAGACAAGCCGTTATTTCTCAATGGAGCTTTAAATTCTATTACTGTGTCACAAAGACCAGAGAGCGATAGCGAAAAAAAGTTACTTCAATGGCATCGTATTTAACGCTGGTAAAGCAATCACGAATCGCAACATCTGACTACTGATTTTTCAACCTGAATCACAATTTTATTTTTTTCATGTCATGACATGATTTCAGTCGCGAAGAGAAAATAATATTTTTCTGGTATTAGTTTGGTCCTATTTTCTAACATTTACATGAAGTGAAGATATGAAGGGAAGGATTAAGCCCCTTGAGTGAGTTGGCAGCATGCTCGAGCGGTCCACAGAAAAAAACCTCATCAAATATACAGAAACCAAAGGTAACTATGACATCTGGCTGGTACAAATTGGTTTCTAACTTAACCCTGACGCGTCGTAGATATCATGGGTATGTCTACCGAAACACGGAGAACGAGTATTGGTCGGTTTTCTCACCCTCGTTGGACTCGTCAAATCTGCTTTGTTGGACAGTATACACCATGGATGATATGGTAGCTAAACACTGAGATCTGTTATCGGCTTATTGGAACATTTTCATTTCTATACACTATGGTGCAGTTAAGTGCTGTAGCACTAGTGATTCAAAAATGCTTGCTACTGTCTGGTGATGTGGAACTAAATCCGGGCCCCCAAAAGTTGATAGAAATTAGATAGACATTGACATCATGCAAGAAATTCGAAAAATGAAAAATGATCTGTCACGAGAGATTCGTGATGTCAAATCAGACACGCGAAAACTTAACAGAAGTATGGAAGAGTTACAGTCAAGCATACAAGATATAAACAGTGCCAAGTTTTATACCACGGTCTTTCATACCAATTACGCAATTTGCATAAACAGTTATGTTAGTTGCCTGACGCCACAGCTGTACGACTACCTTTGGACGGCAGTCTGTCAACAAACCTGACTATCAAGCGATGGACCAGAAATCCAGTCACACGTTAGCGCATTTACTGATTTTGTGGAGACGAAAAACGACATGTTAATTTTGAATTACTTCCAGTGTGTACAAGTGCAGAGATTCTGCTGCTTAGAAGCAAAGAAAAAAGGTTCAACAAGTATGTTCGATTTGCAATACATTAGGGGAAGTTTTAATGTCACGGTCCAAACATTTCTTTCATTGTTTACTCAGCATAATTATTAATAAATGCTGCTGCTGAACTTATGATGAAACTCGGGGACTTTCAAGTTCAAGTAAATATAAACCGTCAACGCCAAAGAATAACCAGTTTTGATTATCCGCAGTGTGGTGTGTAATTTTAGTAAAACACATTTAAGAAATATATTCGATTTGCAAATAAGCTCATGGCATTGCGGAAATTTCAATGTTGAACACACTTGTCACCTTAATGGTCTTATGCTTCCTTCCTCTAGGGTTCTTAAACAAAAAAGGACACGGACGATGATTACATTCATAGACCTTCGGGCAATATTATGAATCCAAGGAATATGAATGTTTCTGCTGAATGCAACCGTTTTGTGTCCTGGTTAAGTAAGTGGTCCGTCGTCTTATATGTGGGATACAAGACACAGCGTACAACAGCATACAATATATGAACGGTATTATGTATCCTACAAACCCGTTCAGCCATTGCATGATATAGCGTTTTCCGAACGAGTTATTTTCATGACGATCTAAATAATTATAGGAACACAAAAGTACGCTGTCAACCGACGATTTACTTCAATGCTCTAGACCCAGGGTTTTAGAGGTCGTTTAAACATCAAGTGGATATCTTGGAGAGTATTCAGCTGATCCCCCTCAACCACATTCTTCGTGAGATACGGTAGGGTAATACTTACCAACACGAACATGAGACTGACTGGTCGGGACACATTTACTCCGTTTATCGCTCTACGTTACTTTGAAAGTCGGAATTGCACAATGGACTTTCCTTTTATTTCAGCAGAGATTTCTTATATTGTTTGCTACAATGTTCGACAGAAATTAGTTTCCGTTTTGAAATATTTGTATACCTTCTACCGGCTAAATAATTTGTTGTTTTAATATTCCGGTCAGAATTTCGTTTTTGTGATTTTGGCGTTTATACATAAAATGAGTTTGCTTGGGTTTTTTGAGTACTTATTATAATGACAGAGATTTATTACAGTATACTACAAATCCACCAGGCCATGATATATCGAGATTAAGATGAGTGCATTATTTTAATTTTATCCAGTGACGCGGAACATCTGCGGGCATCTGCAGAGAAGATGGGGGAACGTTCTCTTGTGAATGCCCCTTTTTAAATATTCAATTACAGTCAGTGAGTCAGCTGTGTTAAAAGCGTGTCAGCTCGATGTTGGAGGAAAGCCCGGAGTTATGCAGGTCTTAGACGTGTACCACTTTTGTTAATCCCATGAGCACTGGTGCGGTGCTGACTATTCTAAAACATTATCAGGGTAAATCTGGGATTACAACCTGCTCCAATAGGTTTCTAGCAAGCCTAAGGGACGAAAATCTGTACAAGAAATAGTGGACTCTTAGACGATGCCATAAAACATATGGTACGAGTACACGTCAAGCTAGGGAATTGCATCGGACATCATTTTTGTCTACGGTGGCCCATAAGGGACATGGAGTCCGTCTTTCAATATTTTGATATTTCACTTACTGTTATCGTAACCTTTTGCAAACTAACAAGATTTGTTATACAAATATGTGATAAATCATGTATAAAGAAGATATTAAATCGCTGAAAAGTGAAGAGAAAATGTCAAAAACTAAAATGAAAATGTCAAAAACAAAAACGAAAATGTCAAAAACAAAAACGAAAATGTCAAAAACAAAAGCGAAAATATCAAAAACTGAAATGAAAATACAGAAAACTATTTCCACGCGGTGATAATATTCCCATCGCTGTGAAAACTATTTACCCCGCGGTGGAAATAATTTTCTGTATTTTCATTTTTAGGTTTTTACATTTTCGCTTTTGTTTTTGACATTTTCGTTTTTGTTTTTGACATTTTCATTTTAGTTTTTGACATTTTCGCATCACATTTCAGCGATTCAATAGCTACTTGAAAGTACATTTTCCATGTTTTCGGTTGTTTTTATACATGATTTATCACATATTTGCATGACAAATTGTTTTAATTTGCAAAGGTTACGATAAAAGTAAGTGAAATATCAAAATATTGAAAAACAGACTCCGTGTCCCTTATGGGCCACCGTATTTGTCACTGATGCGTCAAATTTTGAAATGTCCTCCACATGTCTGGCTGAAAACCTTTTGAAAGCTTTAGTGAGACCTGGATGTTGTAACCTTGATCAAACAACTTCTGAGCAAGAGTCGTATGACGCAATTGAAAGACATGGTTTGGCTTACATGAGATGAAGTGGCATATGGGATGAAAATATATAAACACGTTGCCATGGCGACACTTCATACTTACTTTATGCTGTTGACCCGCACCCCCGCCGAAGCAACCTCTGCAAATATAAGGGATCACATTCTTAATTTCATCCGTTAGATAAAACAACATCAAATAATCTATATATTGACTGAAACAAAACAACAAATATGCATTTTCATTATTTCCATGATGTAAAACAATTTAGACACCACAGATTGTCAAAGGCGTTGGACGTGTTGTGAGTTTTGTTAAGTGTTTTTTCGCCAATTCAAGTCAGATTCCATAGGGCGTAAATGTCAAAATAATGAAGAAATTTATATAAATGGATCACTTAAAATATGACACCAGGTGTTCGCAACAAGAGTGAACATGTCCCGTTAGTACTCGCCACTCATAAAAAAAGTCATAAAAAATAATGAGCCATGGAGTAAGAAAGTGTGAAAACCTGTAACGTTCGTAACATGGGATATCATCATGTTGACAAGGGACCTGTCATATTAAATAAGTTCTTCTGAATGTCTACCACAAAATTTCTCGAATGAATTAATGTTTTTATTTGTTTGGTGTGTAAATAATCGAGTCTGAACCAGACTATCGAGTGATTGATATCATGAGCATCGATCCACGCAATTGGGATACGGAAACTTGTATCAACCAAATGAGCGAGCCTGACCACCCGATCCCGTTAGTCGCCTCTTACCGCAAGCATTGGTTTCTGAAGACCTATCCTATCCCGGATCTTCACAGGTTTCGAGTGAATTATCTGGATCTTTGATAGTGAAGCCTTGATTGACGGTAAAATTTGAATAACATGCAATGCACTTTAGTACCTAAGCAATTTGAAATGTAGAATTGGAGCTGATGGTGTACTGCCCGACATGAAGGGGAAATTCCTTTTTTCCTTTATGTAGACACGATAAAATTTAAAACGTATGACTCACCATTGCTGATAAAACGTCAAGAATTACAGATAGAACCATCAACAGCAACCCCTTCTTGTGAGAATTGAATGCAATGACCTTATGGGGTCGGTGAACTGGCTGACCATAGGCCATTGCACCCCGACGTCGTAGGTTGCGTGCATGACACCTTTCTGGTCCAGACACGATTTGTACAGGATGCCATGATAGACCTGGAATATTCCTGACAGCAAAGTCAATCATTCACACACTCACTGAAACATATCGAGGTGAGATACAGCTAAGTGTAGCTTTGCGCCACTTTTAACTCACCTAAAGCAAGCACCTTTGTAAAATGTTCCAATCCTGCCTTTGAAACTCCATAAACCAGCATTCGCTTAATAGAAACGGACAAGAAATGATTAAAAAGATGTGTCAAACATGACCCCATTAATGCTTACGTTACGCGTAAAGCTAAATTCATTACGCGCAAAGCCAACAAGGAATTCTACAATTCGTAACGCACTTGATTCACGTAAAGCTGCCTTTTACCTTTTTTACGTGTAAAGTTATTTGTTTGTCGGTGCAATTGAAGTGGGTGAAATTGCCAGGCGATAAGGCAGTAATTTACCCGTAAAGCGAAATTCATGGGTTGGATAGAAGGTTTACGCGTAAAGACGTCAGCTTTACGCGTAAAAAGTGTTACGTGTAAACCTACATCGATTATTTATTGGTCGAAGGCTTTATGCGTTATGACTTCAGCTTTCCGCCTTTTAGCCTACGGGGGCGATCGGGAAGCCTAGTGGTTAAAGCGTTCGCTCGTCACGCCAAAGACACGGGTTCGATTCCCGACATGGGTACAATGTGTGAAGCCCATTTCTGGTGTCCCCCGCCGTGATATTGCTGGAATATTGCTAAAAGTGGCGTAAAACCAAACTCACTCACTCACTTTTAGCTTACGCGTAAAGACATTAGATGAAGGAGGAACAACCGTTGTTAGCTTCAACCTACTTGGATTCCCTATTTGTCAAAGACTTAACCCGTATTGAATTTCGCTTTACGTGTACCGTTTATCATCGTCTGACCCTATCTGCTAACCATACACGTGTTCCATCGGATGACCTGCTTAAAATGATTATGATATTCGTTGAATAAGTGTGTGCAGCTGTTAACTCACTTTCAACATATGATGCTACAACGTTAAACGATACTCACGCAGTTGTCGACGGTGACACTTGAGATGTTCAGGATACTTCCTGGAAGGAGAAATATGCTTTACAAGCCAACCTTAAAGTTTCCCCATCATTCAAAGACATAGGTTTACCACTGAATAGAAACAAGTTTGAAGTGATTGTTAGTTTAGTATAGCAACTTTTGTTCAGTCTGCAGCTAAAACACGAACTAATACGTATGGAAGGTAATAAAAGCTGCGCGTATGCATGACATGTTTGTGTCGCCCCTCCCTGAAAACAACCGACCTTCACGGGCAAAATTTGAGTATTTGAGTAACGCACATTAAGAAAGAGGGTGCAACGGAAAATTACCGATAACGTTTCGTATTTATCGTTCTGTTACGAACTAATCCGTCATCGTTTCCAAATTTCAGGGCATCAAATACTCAATAACACCCTCAAATCTCTCAACACATATTGTCGATCTCATGACTGACTGTGAAATAGTGTTTTATCTTCCACTTGCCGGTCATTAACTGTGTGAATCACATTGCTCTTTTCAGAAAAAAAAATAACACAGAGGGATGATCAGGGGTGAAATCAGCTGTTGTTTTTTAATTTTTCACTGATGTAAAATTACATCAGTGAAAAATTAAAAAACAACAACTGATTTCACCCCTAAAATTACATCAGTGAAAAATTAAAAAACAACAACTGATTTCACCCCTGATCATCCCTCTGTGTTATTTTTTTTTCTGAAAAGAGCAATGTGATTCACACAGTTAATGACCGGCAAGTGGAAGATAAAACACTATTTCACAGTCAGTCATGAGATCGACAATATGTGTTGAGAGATTTGAGGGTGTTATTGAGTATTTGATGCCCTGAAATTTGGAAACGATGACGGATTAGTTCGTAACAGAACGATAAATACGAAACGTTATCGGTAATTTTCCGTTGCACCCTCTTTCTTAATGTGCGTTGCGACAACTTGAGATTGTTGACTTTTTAAAACTATTTTTCTAAGGTTTTGGGGATGCATTTTTACCTTATAGCAATACCAATACCAACTAAAAACACACGATGAACTATTTTGTATCGCCCGATCCTGTCCTGCCTCAGAAACAACTGAGTAACATCGCATCAGTGAAAAAATCTTATTTATGTCATCAGCCTATGTTGTTTCTCACGACAGCAAATGTCCACAAGCTTTAATCATCAGATCATTATCAAAGCAAACCTTCTTGTTGTTTGTTGTTTAACGCCGCACTCTGCAATATTCCAGCTATATGAAGGCGGTTTGTCAATAATCGAGTCTGGACCAGACAGTCCAGTGATTGACACCATGAGCATCGATCTACGCAATTGGGATACGATAACATGCATCAACCATGTCCCGATGTGCTTACAACAAGCATACACGCCTGTTACGACAAGCGTGGGTTGCTGAAGACCTATTCTACCCCGGATCTTCACGGGTCATCAAAGCAATCCTTCAGATTGACAATTTATATGATTTCTTATATATTATCTGTAAAAGATAATGTACTGGGATATTGGAAAGTGTTCTTTACTTTGTACCCAAACAATCTGATATTAGATATACATATATAATGTTATCCGCCGACACAGATTCCACTGGTCGTAAAAGGCAAAAAATATCGGTGGGCATCGATAGATACCACATTTATCGAATTACAATACAGAGCAGTCATCCCTGACATGGCCCATGCACCAGTGAACTCATACTTAAGATAAAGCAAGTTCGGCCCGATTTGGACGAAAAGCGCACAACGGGTTAGTGAAGGGAAGACTGGTTGAAATTAATGGGATTGACCATTCTATGTCAGTGACCTGGTGACAAGAGTCCATTATGTTATGGCTATTAGGCGGTGATGGAGATCTGAGAAAGCAATGATTGCCTTTTGTCACTTTGAGGGTTCCTAAAGTGTGTTTTGAAAGGACAACTGGTGCCCTGAGATTCACGCTGAGAATACGGTCAAACATTTAAGTATGATATGGAGATCTGAGGAAGCAATGACTTGCCTTTGGTCACTTTGAGGGCTCCCAAAGCGTGCTTTGAAAGGACAACAGGTGCCCTGAGATTAACGCTGAGAATACGGTCAAACAGTGAAGTATCGAAAAGTGACATCTTATCTGGGTGGAATGCTTCACCTGCATTGTTGATCTGAAACAAAGATATGTGCTCTGTTATGAACAGTGTTAGCATTAACGTTGACGGATTTGGTGTATTTGACAATACTCACAGAAATGTTAGTCTGGGTAAGGAATTATTGACGTCAATGTGGACGTGTATAAATAATCGTCTCTGTGACATGAACGCTATCGAGTATATAACTCATGAACTTTACCCTTACTCTGGCCAATCATGATCTGGTTTCACACGTGACAGAATCATTTTTATTCTGTAGTTGTTTATTTATTTACATATATTAAAACGTGATATTAAAACACAAGAACAAAAATGTATAATGTAATGATATGTTTAACAACCATTCCTTTGCAATCATTTTTTGACACCGTCCAAGAAACTGACTAGGTCAGAAGTGGACTTTAAATTCGCAAATGACTGAGAGTGATTTTCCCTTTTACTTATTTCCTTCGTTTCTTCGCATTATATGATACGACCCAATACTTGCGGCCAGTTGGAGGAATAAAGTGTTCTCATGTCCACGTTGACATCGGTGGTATCTTAGACACTTATGTCCAAAGGATACATAGACATTCGAGATATATAAAGTGGTGTTTATTTTGTTTCCAAGTGTATATATAAAGGTTATTCAAATATCTGAATTACTAAATATATTTCAAAATATATTTGTAGTTCTTTGTATCCATTAGAAGCCTATAGACTAGCTCCTTACTTAATGACATTCTGATTTTAATCGGGTAAGGCAGCCTTACCCGATTAGGGAAGAATAAAGCCTATCAAACAATTCATTCTGATTTTATTTCACTTCGGTATGTGGCGATAACAAATGAATAGCTATGCCACTGATGGCACATTTAAATGAGTGAGTGAGTGAGTATGGTTTTACGCCGCTTTTAGCAATATTCCAGCAATATCATGGCAGGGGACACCAGAAATGGGCTTCACACATTGTACCCATGTCGGGAATCGAACCCGGGTCTTCGGCGTGACGAGCGAATGCTTTAACCACTAGGCTACCCGACCGACCCTCTACATTTAAATGAAGTTTGTGTTCAACGACATACATTTTGACATGTGTAGACCGGCTTTTGATTGACCCCACATCAAGCATGTACACACTTTGATCTCCCAAGCTGATGACACATTTACAAAGAACGCATAGAGGTTGTATAACCTGCCAACTAGACCGCCAACAACCTGACACCAGCACTGCTTGGTGGGACCCAGTGATTGTGTTTTGTTCGTGAGGCACGTCATGGAGTAGAGACTGCATTATATTTCTGTTAAGCATCCTAAACACTTTTGTTGAGACTATGTTCGTCATTCCAATGTCCGCTACACTTACTAGGGCATCTATTCTGCCAAATTTCTTCAGTGTTTGTGCTGGTATGTTCTCAAGTATGTCGTCTTTGCTCAAGTCGCCTTCCACACACAAAATCTGAAAAATGGAAGATTAAATATTTTCGCGTAAAAACATTTTAAACAAACATTTCTTTTTCACAAAAAATACCAACAGGTTAGAAGTACTGTTTGATGTTATATTTCATCAGTACCAATAAACTAATATACGGAAATATAAAGCTTACAACGTTATTATTTATCGGGCTTTCAAACCTCCATTACATAAACATTAATACATTCTGCCTAAACCTTTTAATTAACTTCTTATATTCTTATATTTCTTTGTATTTGTTGAAAATTATATTAAATCCTGTTCCTTAGATAAACAATAGTGTTTTCCTCAGTATTGTGAGAGACCGGACCACATTGGACCCTCGCTAACCCGATCGGAATTTTCACTGTGAAATCGTCCGCGTACTGCATGACTGTCCTTGTCTATATTCCAAAAACTAATCGGTCCGGAAAGAAAGTTTTCTTGTTTATCAAGGTTTTTATGTAGCTTTCAATACGAATTTCATGGTCCCTTCTCATTGTATTTAACCACGTCACATTCACTAATTACATCATGGCTGCACTCACATCATCGCAACCAGCAGCCACACACAGGTCAGCTGTGGCGTTGAGGCCGGCGACACTCCTACCGTGAATGGTCAGCGCATACCCTGTCCGTGCTAGCTCCTCCGCTATACCACGCCCTATACCACTACTGCCGCCTGAAAGATTTCAACATGAAAACCAACTGGGAGTTGCATGAGACCGAAAGTCTTAACCAGAACTAGGTGAGGTGAGGTGAAATGGGGTTTAACGTCGCGTCAAAGATTATTGCACTTATATAGCGACGTGCATGGACGTGTATGTGTTTGTGTGGCTGCTTGTACTAGTCCGGACTGATGCCGATTTATAGTGCTAGTTCACTGAGAAACCATGCCGCAGTTTAACATGAATACCCGACTCAGACACAGTATACTGACTCCGAGCCGACCAGTCCTTGTTTTAGCCCCTTAATGACAGGGTAACAACAAGTACCATCTTTTAACATCTTTTGGTATGACGCGGCCGGGGATCGAACCCCGGACCTTTCGCTCTCCGGGCGGACGCTCTACCACTAGACCACGGAGGCGGTCTAACCAGAACTAGAGAGTTGTAGACCTGCAGAAGGACTTGTATTGTCAGTCGAGAAATATCAAGTACATCACCAACGCCTTCTTGGGATTTATATATTTACGTGTTTCAAAATCTGACAAAAGAAGGAAACATCAAAGGCCGTAAACAATTCCTATTTTTACTTGAGAACGAATAATCAGTAGTACTGACCTGTTACAATTGCCACCGGTTTGGAAGACGTCTGACTGGTATGTTGGCGTCTATGTCCAGTCTGAAACACACGGGTAAACTGGAGCAGCTTTCGAAACATGGTTCCTATGTGCAGATACTTGTCAGTCCTGTACATGTGTTGCTTTTATACACCAGGTCTGGAATAACTAGGGCGTATTCTGTCAGGTGATCTAAAGTGCGTAGTGTTCCATCACGCAGTTATTTTTGTACCCTTGTGAATCTAAAGAAATCTACCCTCGGATGTTGCACGGACGAATGACGCCATTTCGTCTCACTTCACGACAACACTTCTTCATCGTTAACAGGTGGAGGGGCGGTCGGGTAGCCTAGTAGTTAAAGCGTTCGCTCGTCACGCCGAAGACACGGGTACGATTTCCGACATGGGTACAATGTGTGAAGCCCATTTCTGGTGTCCCCTGCCGTGATATTGCTGAAATATTGCTAAAAGCGGCGTAAAACCATACTCAGTCACTCAATTAAACAGGTGGATGAATGGAAATGGGTGTTTAAGGTATTGGTGTGCAATTTAATTATTAACCTATTAACAACGCACTGTGCATTGCTTGCGCATATTGCGCACACCGGTGTTAGCTGCGTGTCCAAAACCCGAACCGTGTTCATTTAGAACTTATTACAGAACTTCTTACCTTACCTTAACATGTGTAATGAAAACATTAACGTATATTAGTTTAATAGATACATAATATGCTGAAGTTATGTGTATCACATTCGATATTTTCCCCCAATTATTATAAGAGTGTTAAAAATTCATAATCCATACCCCAACTGATTTAATTTACAAATAACAACCCAAGAGCCCAACTGACCGATTAGCAATTTCCTTTGCTCTATGATTAAAATCTAAAGTAACCAAAGGCCGAGATATTTACAGGAATGTGCTATTTCTATTTGCTCATCCCACATATAAAATAGAACGAAGACGATATCTGCATACAGAGGCGAATTTGAGTGTTTACCTATAAGGACAGCAAGTCGCAACAGCAGCGGAACCACAATTTGTCGAATGACGTCAACAATCTTCAACTATGACGTCTTTTCATGTGTGACGTCATTCTGACTTCACGTCACACTATGATTCGAATGACGTCAACAATGCCGCCCGGATGACGGAAACAATACACTGTTGTCTCTTGACGTGATTTGATCCGCGGGACACATGATTTTTATTAACCCCGAAATGTTTGCCCTCGTAGGTAATAATATGTTTTATTACCCATATGGGCTCAAATATTCAGTGTAATAACTTTTTGATATTTGCACAGTGTGCAATTAGTGATTCTCGAAGCTGATTGGTCAGTAAAACAAAGATCAATTTTCATTGGACAACGGAACTATTTTTTTCTCATCCCATTCATTCACAAATCCACGCCTTTTCCTTCAGATGTTTTACGTGCTACAATCTCACTGATTCGGGATTTTTAAGACAAGACACATAATTTCATATTAACAACATGATTTCACATTATCATTTTTTTCATTTATTTCACATGATTTTCATTTTACAGTAAAAACCAAAACTACGTCCCCGTTTGTAAACAAACATGGCTGGCCATTTGAGACCTGTCAAAGTAAATGACCTCGTTAAAGAGGACGGAGATCTGACTGACATGAAAAGTTATTCGTATAATTCAACCTCTGAACACATTTAATGTCTTTGTTGTCAAAACTGCATATGGCCAGACTGAAGTTCCAAGATTCAGATTGTGATGTTGCCAGAAACTGTTTCTAGGGCGCCAAAATCATCACCACCAAGTCCTGGTTTGCGTCTGTGTTAGGCCTAGAGGGCTTGCTGTTTGATGAATTTTTCGAACACCCGAATCCAAAAACCGGACTTTGTATAGACAGGTTTGCCTTTGTGAACGGTGATGACATCGATAACTGCCAATGAAAATGAAAACACAATGAAAAAGACTAAACTTGACAAGTTGACATGAACTTTGTTCACAAATGTATACAGGTAAGAAAAACACGAAAAATATGACTCGCTAAAGCTCGGAACTTAAAACATTAATTTCACTCGTGACATATTTTCCGTAATCACTCGTACCTCGTGGGTTATTCTATAACTACTATATAGAAGGATATGACATGAATTCAGTTCTGTTTAGAAATGCTGAGACATCTACAGATATTAACCTTGCTATTATAGAGTCTGTTCACTTGTTAAAATTTAAATATTTCTTTCATAATAACATCAATCTAATAGTCGTTTGTATGTGTGATATGCGATTTGCTGGTATGTAGAGGTATATGTGCACAAGTATACATGTGCATGGATGTACCGGTACATGTATGTGTGTATTTTTGTGCAACTTTTTTTTATGAATCTGGAAAGGATTTTTATCGATTGTATTTACTGTATATTTGCATCGTAATATTAGGCACAGGTAATCTAAATATATTAGTTTATGTACAGTTTACTTATATTACGTGTTAAATGTCCTTGTTGGGAGAGGTGTTTAAATAGGCTTTACCTGTTCACCAATCCCATTCCATTTCGGAATATCAAGGATGCATTTACATTGTAAATGAAACATTGGTAATTTGCGCCGGTTTTTCACCACGTACCTATCACATTTAACAGTATACGGTCCTGAGCTATATTTATATCACTTAATAAAAACATGATATACTTATATTTATATGAACTATGTGGAAAAGATACCCTGACTTGCAGGCGTTCAAATTCCAATGTGTCTGGTTATTAGGTCCAAGGTTGGTTCCCACGGTGTCAATATATAGTCATATACCTACTACACTTGAAATCGATGTCCATCATTATGTGAAATACCAATAAAAAGGTCACTACCCCTCTAATCGTTGAACATAAATTTTGACTAAAAGCATTACAGGTCAAGTCAAGGTTAACACCCACGAGGAGATATAATATGTGATTTAGGTATAAAGAAATTATTTCAACACAAAACAACAAACGCATATATAAGTGTGATCCATGTGCGAAGTGACTTTTCTGTCTTTTTCATCATTATCCTACAAAATATATATGTTCATTGTCAATACTTCAATAACAATTAAGTAATGAACTTTCATATATTTTCCATGTCGCCCGTCTCAGTCATTTGTCAACCATTACATGTTTCCTGTACCCGTGACCGCCTCCGTGGTCTAGTGGTAGAGCGTCCGCCCGGAGAGTGGAAGGTCCGGGGTTCGATCCCCGGCCGCGTCATACCAAAAGACGTTAAATCATGGTGCTTGTTGTTACCCTGTCTGGCGCTCGGCATTAAGGGGCTAAAACAAGGACTGGTCGGCTCGAAGTCAGTATACTGTGTCTGAGTAGGATATTCATGTTAAACTGCGGCATGGTATCTCTGTGGGCTAGCACTATAAATCAGCAGCAGTCCGGACTAGTACAAAAGCAGCCAACCACACACGTGCAAGTACGTCGGTATATATATATAAGTGCAATAATCTTGGACGCGACGTTAAACCCCATTTCACCTCACCTTCTGTACCCGTGAAGGTCCGGATTAGAATATGTCTTCAGTGTTTTGATGCGTACATCTGGTAAAACAACGGGTATGTCAAAAAGACTGTCTTGAAAGATAATATTTTCTCTTTTTACAGTATAAATAAGGTTTGTTGATATACCAGTTAAATGTTTCTGGTTGTATATAGGCACAGCCAAATAATAGCTCATAATCTAGACCAATCAATGGCTTTTCGAATAAAACGAAAATAGTTTTCTGTAATGTTTGACCATTTGACGAATTCATTGAATTGTTTTGTTTTTATTGGAAGTATTATCCCCCCAGACAGTCTCCCGCAGTTTCAATGTGTTCTGTCACTTTGGCGATAGATTCATAATCTGAGAACACATGGAGTAGATCTATATCATCGGCCGCCGTTTCAGTGGTACCCACAATATCAAAAGATTGCATGTAACGAATAAAATCCTTATCTGTTGTATTATGTGCAATGCCAGACACTGCAAACACGTAAACGTCGTTTTTTTCCGTATATGGTCATTCGACGGACCAAAGACTAAAAATTCATTAAAATTGATTAATTGGAGAGCGTCTAGAAAGTGTCCGGAAAAACGTTCATACAGTTTGCCCCTCACTTTAGGAAGGTTTATATACTCCAATAAACTCACACAAAGTGGAAGTCGCGCTTTGTATAACCCTATTTTACCATAGGGCGACAACGCGACGACACCACTATTTTCAAGGTCTCGTTGTCGCATTGTCGCCCCATAATACATTTGGGAAAAAGACGTTAAGTTCAGTTAATGTTACAGTTAGGAAGCCGTGGCCATATTAGTAGTAGGTCTACCTGATATGTCTTGAATTGAAAACACAAGTCCGTCCACGCGTCCATAGCGTTTTATTGTGAGGTCTTAATGTAGGTGCTTAATGCTCATGTAACGCCAAGTTCCAAACTGTCGCGCTCGAGCTGGTTTACATGCATATAAAGCTTCTAAAAGTGTCATATTCTTAAAGAGGTAATGAATTCAGACCACGTAGTATCTCATCCACATTCCACATGCTACTAGTACAGTGGTCGTCCAGAAGATCTTACACTTGACCGAATAAGACAAGGGACGAGTCCACGCCTGACCTGTGGTCTCGTGGCCCCCATGAGGCACGTGTTTGTCTGAGGGGGGAGCGAAGGAAATGTGCCCAGAGCCGAGCTCGCGACACACTGTATACTGCATGTGATGTACAGACATATTACACTTGATACATGTATACTGCATCTGATACGTATTTGCGGAAAAGATACAACTTTCAAGGTTCAAGATTCAAGTTGCATATATTTCTTGTACAACAGACCACCGTCATATCACTGGAATATTGCTGGGAATGGCGTTAAACAGAACACACAATTTCTTTTCAAAATGGAGCGATGCAGTCATTTCATTATACATGTATGTATATGGTTCTATGGCAGTAATCCTTTTTCGAGTGATATATATATATTTATATATATACATTTACATATACATATATATGTAGTACCAACTCACTCACTCTGTTCCGAATATTCAGCAGAAAATATAAATTATATTGACCAGCTGTGAGATCAGATATCAGATTTTTACAAGCAGTCGCAAACTGGACTTATTATTGTGTGGTA